GGTTGTAGTACGATTTTCCCACGTCATTGCCCAACGTGGACGTGCATTAGTCATTCATACCATCAATAATAAAGTAATAAATAAAGGTACTCACGCCATTTACCATTTTAGTTCATAAGATCCATGGTATACCATTTTCTTTTAAGTATTAGTTGTCGTGATGACAATTAGTATTGGCAATCATAACCAATTTGAAATCGAATACAACAGAAATACTTATATTCAGACGTAACAATACCAGATTTAAATAAAATACTTTAACGATTTAAAGCGCGATATATTTTAGTTAAAATAGGGAGACCGGCCCCAAACTATCAAACACGTGGGATCCCATAATAAAAACTCTGGATTCCAATAAACAGCATACCGACAAACGCGAAGACACCGTGAGTCCATTCTGCAAGGACCCGGCCAGTTTCGCTAAATACCAACTTCGACGGAACAGATGGCGCTAGCGTAGCAGTTTTTACTGTGACGTCAGAGACATCCTCCATCTTTAATCTCCCCGTGACTACGGCTGCTGCAAAGCATCCGAAACGTCGAGCCGTAGTTAAAAATAATTTTCAAACAAGTTTAACTAAAATATATCGCATTTTAAACCGTTAAAATGTTTTATTTAAATGTGTACTACTCGCGTAAACTACAGATAGTATGTAACAACATCAGATTAAGAAGAACCAAATACAATATTACTGTTGCCGATGAAGACTCATCTAGGTTTAGTGTAATGTCCCAACAGTTATATTTTGTTGCCGCATTAGGTGGTGGTAGTCCTAAAAGCTTACCAATCCGCACTGAAACCTGGTAACTGAACACCTGTACCCAGCAATAAGAAAGTAACGCGAAATTAATATAAAAAAACACGTTTTAATTGAGTAAAAATTGTACCCACTGGTTTCCTAAACAATACGAACGAATACGTGTTCTTAAAATAGCGTGAATTACTTTTTAAATTGTGATAATTTTAACATATATTATATTGTATGTTACATTTTCGATTCAATAAGCGAAATCATACGTCGCCATCTTCAAACTCTACGTTCGCTATAATTCCGAGAAATATTTCAATACGAACGATTTACTTGTTGCCTTAGATTTTCTAAGGAATACATGACGTAAATATATAATACACGCGAGATTCCACGAATATCTTTGTAATAGTTCGATTTCAGATCGCGTTGTAATGGTTGAGAACGGTTCAAAATATTTTCATTTTAAATATAACTTCGCTTACAGGAATACAAAGAATTTTTACTCTGTTCTTTTGAATTGAAAATTTCGGTAAAAATTAAATAATTTAGAGTATTTATCGAGGAATGCTATAGGCTATAAAACATTGCCCTGTGACGAATACAAGCGAAGATACAGCGAGATATATAAAACAAAAAAAATGGGAAATTTTTCCTCCTTTTGGGCCTCCCAGACCCCCCCCGAAAAAAAGGTTTTAAATACCCCAAAAAATTTTTTGAAAATTTGTTTCCCCCCTTAAAAATCCCAAAAAAATCCCCCCCCCCCCCTTCCCCTTTTTTTCCCCCCCCAAGCCGGGGCCCCCCGGAAAAATTTCCCGGTTCCGGGCCCCCCCCCCCCTCCGGGGCCCTTTTTTTTTTTTTAAAAATCCCCGGGCCCCCCCCCCTTTTTTTTTTTTTTTTTTTTTTTTTTTTTTATTTTTTTTTTTAAAAAAAAGGGGGTGGGGGGGGGGGGGCCCCCCCCCCCCCCCCCCCGGGGGGAAAAATGATGTTGTCCTATTCTCAGACCTATTGAATACACATATGAAATTTGGTGAAAATCGGTCGAGCCGTTTCGGAGGAGTTCAAGTTCGAACACCGTGACACGAGAATTTTATATATTAGATAGAGGTTTGCAAAAACAAATTTAGATGCCTAAAATAACTATTCTTAGCGGATGAAGTCGCTGACAAAGCTAGTCAAAGATAAATTAGTTACCGATTTTTTTTAATATTGTTTAGTTAAAAGTATTATCCTCACTTTATTATGTCTATTAATTAGTGGTCATTTTATAAAAAAAAAATTTGGCAGATACTGAAAAAACTAAATACAAGCAAGGTATTCGTATTTAAATAAAACACTTTTACAGCCGTGGTCACGGGACTCCCCAATTTAAACCGTTTAAGTGGTTATTTAAATGTTTACTACTCGCATAAACTACAGACACTTTAAGGTAAATTTAGCAACAATAAAATAGACTAAAACCAATTAAACAGTAAAAACTTTATAAAATAAAAATTTAAAAACCTAAATATTTATACAACAGTACACTGACGTTAAGCTACAAGTAAATAAGAATTTATTTCCCGTAAAGATATTATAAAAAAGGCATTTTAGGAACACCTATGTGGACTAGCGGGAGTCCGGGCAGGTACTTAATAGTGTCAGGGCGGGCTTAAATCCGACGAATGACCGGCGACGATAAGAGGGAAAATAGTTGATTTTAGTTTTTCACTGAAATCCACTGTCAAACAGTCGGGCGTTTTCATTCGATTTGTAAAATTCTACGTGCAATGGAAAATAACGTTGATTTTCGTCAGTGGATTTTACGCACAAAAAAGATATTCAGTATCATTAATGTATTGTGACGCTTATATTTTCAGTACTTTCAGGAAGCTTATTTTCAAGCAGTTTAGCTGTTTTAATGTTTTACTTATTACCGACCAAAACTAGATGGTCTTTTTTACACATTGGACATACGAGGTCGGTGGTAGGTCAAACACCCCGGTTATATAACATCTAGACGGGATGTGCTGTCAGTCCATTTTGGCTTTGGATATTCGGAAATCCCCAGAAACCAAAACGCGATTAAACGGCTTTTTCATCTGTGGCTCGTGACCCGGAAAATTAATATTCCGACCACCTGTTTAATATCCATATTTCCAGACGAACATGATAATGTTTCAAAACAATAATAAATTGTTGGACCCGGTGGAAACGAACCCGCGACCCGTTGATTGCCACACATTGCCACCAGAACATTAACGAGTCATTTTACATTTGTATTAGTAGACGCAAAAAGTCGTTTATAGTTTAAATGGAATAAGATCCCCGTGACCACGGCTGCCGCAATGCATCCAAAACGTCGGGCCGTAGCTAAAATATTTTTCAAATAAGTTTAACTAATATATATCGCGTTAAGCCGTTAGTGTTTTATTTAAACGTGTACTACTTGCGTTAACGACAGACAGTATTTGCTATGAAACCTTTTCGAAATGTTAAACTAATTGAAATCCAAACTGAATTCTATTTTGAAACAATCAGAGGAATTCAGCAACAATGCACTGATCGTCGTACCCTCAATAGCTGCGAGACGAGCGTCGTAAACAGTGCAACTGCAGGCCAGTCAAATTGACCTGACTAGGTACTTGATTATAATTAGCTGGAAACCCTGGCAAGTTTATAGCCAACGGCAGACACTCGCTGCCGAGTAAGGATCATCATATGAATTTAGGGCGAATTCAACGTTCTGTAATATTCAGGGCTGTGCCAATTGCGTTCCTGAATTTAAATTTAACTAAACTGAAATTAAACTATGTATTAACTCATCAAGCTTTTGTTAGATTTCGTGTGATCTTTATTTTACGGTGTAACAATGGTACTAAAGGGTGGCTAATAAACAACGGGACGTGGATTCTATGCAAAACAGGTCTAACTTAAATCTAAAATGTAAAAATATTACTGAATTATTATTTTCGTTATTTAAAGAATCTGGATATTGAACGAGTGTTGGATGTATCGACACACAAAGTAGTCCCCGTCTTTTGTTGCTAAGATCTCTTAGAATTACTATGTATATAAGACCGTTTCCATTGATTGAGTCAATCGGTCTGCACCCTTGATTTTTTTTGTGCTTTAAATTATTTCCGCAATGGTCCCCGCGGCATATGAAAGTTGGTTCGTTAAACTGTTAAAGCATTATACGTCGCTATAAAATACAACTTTAATCATTTCGCGTTTTAAACCGTTAAAAGTGTTTTATTAAAGAACGACAAAAGTGATTAGACAAAGCCACAACCCTGAACAAGACGGCACGGCATCTACAATGATAGTGTGCGCTAATTCAGGAAATCTAACGTAATCCTATACCGAAGAGGGACGTGGTAGCCGGCAGTAAATAATCAAATCCGTCTGATTTATTACTTGTGTGGTATGCTTATTAAACGAGCTCGGTTTGATTGCGCGATCTTGTGGCCTAATCAGATGTATTGTGGAACGTTGTGCCTCCGTCGCACATTAATTATGGCTTCAATCGTATCTACACTGATATTATAAAGCTGAAGAGTTTGTTTGAACGTGCTGATCTCAGGAACTACTGGTTTGAATTGAATTTTTTATTTTGTGTTCGTTGGAGCTTTATCAAGGAAGACTTATGGCTATAAAACCGCACCGTCGACTCATGGCGAAGAAAGCGGTGGAAAGCGTGGAAAAAACGGAGAAAATTATTCAACTTAGGGCTCCCGTTGCGAAATCGGTTCTAGATGCCGAACAAAATATGTTTAAATGATCTAAAACAATGTCTGCGATAGTGTTTGCCTATCTTTTAAGATTAACTTACAAGAACCATTTTTAATTATCAAAATACTTCATACAACTAAATAAGGTTAAGATCAGCTAATTATGGATAGAACACAACAATTTCATAACAAAAATTTGGGATTACTCAGTTTGCAAGGTATTAGTGATAAGATTTCTCCCTGTGTTATAAAACCCCATTTGTATGTACGTATCTTATTCGTAAATGAAATTCACACAGTAATTGTTATTGAAAAATAACCTCAAAACTACGTGGAAACAACTTTCCGAATAATTAAAACAAGATCAGCGTGCAATGTAATTTTCAAATGAGAACTCATCACAAAAGTACTTAAAACAAGTTAAAAACTACATGTCGCGTGACCCACATACAACTGTGAGGAACGTACCGAATGAAACTGCATTAGTTGTCATGACAAAGTTGTCCTCGTTTTAAATTAACTGTGACTTTTGCGAAGGATGAAATCGGCTGAAAGTAAAGGTGACAATCACCAAGGAAGCAGAACCAATCGGGGGTGGGTACTGCTGACTCAGACTCGAATTGGGGGAGTTTGATTATGATTGTACTTGAAAGACGTTAATAGATTCTTCATATTGATTAAACCTATACTCTGCTTACTGTAGCATGATATTGAACAAGTGATTTCGTAAAGTGTAAAACACAGTAGAGATACTTGTAGTCATTTTCGTTTTTTACATTATAATGTATTATAAAAACACGAAATACGATGTTTTTTCAGTTTCTAATTTTATAATATTATTTTACATTGTGTAATATATTACAATTTATTTCTGTAATGTCTTATAACAAACAAATCTCTAATCTCCTTTACAAAAACATTTATTTAATTTGTATATTATACATTTAAGTGTATGTGTTCTACTTTTTATAATTATATTAATAAAGAGTTTTATTATTTTTACTTCTAAAATGAACTGATAAAAAACATAACCTCAAGTTATAAACAAAGTACAGATATTAAAATATGTTTAACTAATAACGTATCACGTTTAAACCCGTTGAATCAAAATTAATCTTTGCTGATGATAGCAAATGTTAGGTAATATCAACATGCTAATATTAAAATGAAAAATATTGCCATCTAATAATAGAATGCAATAGATACTGCCGTCCCAAAGGAGGCAATATTTCCCACTCCTAATCTAGAGCACTTCACCTAAGCAATATTATTGATAGCTGACCTGAAATTACTAGGCGATATTTATATGATGTATCTTTGAATGATGTATTTTGATTAAATCTATATTAATGCAAAAGTAAGATATGGGATTACCCGGTTTTTTTTTTTATAATATTACCATACCAAGGAGATTGTCAAGACATACGTGTACGAGTACTTCTTGTTACAACTTCTTTATTTTTTTTTTTTTTTTTCCCCAATAAAATGGTTTATAACAATGCTCCGACGAAAAAAAACGAAGAAAAAAAAGGGAAAAAGGGAAAAGAGGGAAATAAATTTATCTTTGAGACCTTCCCTTTCGCTCCTACGACAATGGTTTAAAACATATATATACAAGATTTATTTTTCTTTCAATGTCTATCTCTTATGATGGGACGCAACGGTCGTAACAGCTAAAATTTAAAATCATTTGCTGATATCTAAATTAGCTATTCCACGTGGCTGAAGGCGCCGCCACAGCTGAATAATATAAAGATGGACACGTCTCCTGAAATAAGCGATTTAGCTCTACCCAAACGTAGCATCATAGCATCGAATTAGCAGAACTTGGCCCCGGCTTAAATCTTGCGCGCCTTTTTGACACACACACTGGTCCGTATTAATTTAATTTGCATCGCTCCACACACAAACGTGTTTTAATTTTAAACACACCGCCTTCAGTTCAAAGTCAACATTGTTATAATAACAATCACTATTATTATACCAGCGCAAAGCATGAAAAGCTAATTCAATTTGCGTCTTTTGTGTGCGCGCCGGTTTAATATGCCATAATGAATTTGGACTTGGAGCCAAAGTGGCCTTTGGCTTTATTAATTTACTTACGATACAATGATCTGGGCATTGCTCGCGAGCGCTTATACTTGGTGGTAGGTGAAATTCCTCGCATCTAAACAGGACCTATTGGCCTGCTAGGGTATAACTGATCGGAAATCCACATGTTGGATCTGATCAAGGTCAAGTATTAGGATTATTATTATAGATTTATTATTTATGATATAAACCACATCGGCCTTATCGCTAAGTAGCTATCTCTTCAAGGCATCATGATTATTTAACGGTAAAAAAAGGACCACATTTCGCGTGATCCTACCGGCAGCGAGTTTATGAAGATACGATAAATCACTCGAACCAGTGAAATTTGTTAAAGGACGAGATCCTTTTATATTTCAGCAGAGCTCCATCGCCCGACCGCATTAGACTACCAAAGCTGAACAATTTAATGACGATTGACTATTCATACCACATTCGAGCGGTTGACCGCTTTGCTACACTTGATTTAAAGTCTAATTATTCTGAGATTCAGCCGTGGCGGACGGTGCTAGAGTTCGTAATGAGAGCGACGCGCCACGGCGCTGGCGGGGGCCGAATGCAAAATGTCGCAATTGCACCCCCGTCAGAAAAACAGCTTACACTGGCAAAAATAATTAAGAGCATTAGTAGAGTCGGGGAATGGAGTGTCGCACAGTAAATAGTCCCCTAAATACCCACCTACATTTATTGGAGCTGGGGCCAGAGGAGCGAGACTTCTCTTTTAGAGTGGGGCTTTATTTCAGCATTCTTTACTGTAGATTCAAATTAGCTCACTAATGTATGCACTATGGACTCGTTCGCGTCTAATTTTACCTAAAGGAGTTTACTAAAGTGTCTTTTAAATGGACTGTCTTATTAGAAAACATTTATCTAACATTAAGATATGTGGTAAACATTTTGGGACAGTTGTATGATATAAGAACCAGCTAATAATTATGATTGTTATTAAAATAACGACGAACGATATATTATTTTATAAAAAAGATATATATATATTGTACAAAGCGCTTGTCATATATTTAAGCTCGTTTAAGAGTTAAAATAAATACAATTTTTACTTTAAATGAGTGTGTAAAGTTTAAAATGTATATGTATATAGGAAAAAGAAACGTAAGCATTGTCTGTATGCTTAAATGCCATATATGACTGTAAGTAATATATTTCGCGTTTAAAACAGTTAAAAGGGTTTTAGAAGATTTTCTTAGTACTTAATATGCATATACTATATTTATCGCATTGAGACGTCACACGTCATTATTAGGGTCCACCTTCAAAAACAGCGCACCACTTTGCTTATGGCTCTTTTTGCTCTGAAATATGCTGAACCATCTCTTGCATCGAGTAACTTTTTTCCTAAGTCAAATTTGGTGGTAAATTTACGACTATTTAAATAATTTTATGATTTTTTAAAATGGTATACTTATGTATAGATCTTTTATTTGTCTATGAACTCTTTAACAACGACAAAAAACTGCCCAACGATAGCCTAAAGTTTAATATACACACGACCATCCCAAAATTTTGATTATCTGGACATCGTATGAATTCACCTCAGCCTATACGTAGGCATCTACGATATTCGGGTGATCAATCCCTAGCAAAGCCATGTAATACCATGTACACATCTCAACCCACACAAACCTACACCGATCGAACAGCGCTGACAACTAGAACACGATCGGCAGCTCGTACCTCTATCACTCACATTCCTCGCCCCCCAAGCCCACTTGAGTTGTCAATGCTGAATCAGGTCTGAGTGCTATTTAGAAATGCTAAAACCCCAGCACGAGGCCCGAACGCATCATTTGTTCGCTGTCAACGGACCTGACGACGGTTCCTTCGGCCAGCGAAAAAAGACAATCCCAATTATACTGAACCACTGGCCGTGAAATTGTTTACCTTTCCGAGATTTCGTTTAATCTTCGGGAGACCTGGTGTTTTTCAAATATTTTTTTTGCTTGCATATATGAATTATTGCCAGTAACACTTCATACTTGTATACTGCAAAACATGAATGAAGGAAACATATAATTTTCTCGTTGGTCTAATAACTGGTATTGCATACATTGCTACCAGTTCGATTCCCAGCGGACCAAAAATATTTCCAATTTATAATTTACGGAAATATTAACGAGTTATTTTAACAACCACAGACTACGGAGCCGTGAAGTTGAATCATACTTCGGCATCATCTGTGGATTTCCGAATATCCCAAGTCGAAGTACAGGTCAATAGCTTGTTGGTTGTTGAGATCTTATATGTGGGTATCAACTACCAAAAGATGCACCTCACCTGTCATTCTCTATCTTTAAAAATAATATGTATAACTTTGAACAGTCAAAGGTCTTACCTGTCTATTCTAGTCTGGTAAATTAACTGAATGTACGCTTTGCAATTGATTTTTAATTTTCAGGGATGGATCCTTTCGTGCTTACGTGACAAGTTAAATACTTTTAAATAAAACACTTTAACGGTTTAAAACGCGATATATTCGTTAAACTTATTTTGAAATGATTTTTAACTTCGGCCCGACGTTTCGTCGTCGAGTCTCCCCGTGACCACGGCAGCTGCAAAGCATCCGAAACGTCGGGCCGAAGTTAAAAATCATTTTCAAATAAGTTTAACTAATATATCGCGTTTTAAACCGTTAAAGTGTTTTATTTAAATGTGTACTACTAGCGTAAACTATAGACAGTATTTAGGTTTAATACTTTTTATAATATTTCAGTTTTCCTGTTCGTTTCTTTTGTAAGTGATAAATAATATATAAAATTTGCGTCAACACGTTGTATAATTGAAGATAGTCGTAATCAAAAATAACTTCACGGGCGGACGCGCCAAAATTGTCACGGCTTTTAAAACTTTTCGTCGCAGTATCCATAAATGTCAAAACGTCTTAAAACTGAAGTCTCCTCGCGACAATAACAATGTAACTGCAATGCTGACCTTACCTTTTCACTTCCAACGCATCAGATCGACTTGGAAAGGTACAAAGTGAAGCTTTGGGGTTCCGTAATCAAAGCGTAAAACGAATATCCTTAAAGTATGAAACACATATTGAAGTCCAATACACCGTACATTATGTTTTTGTACACCTTTTTATGACAATTTGATAGGAGGCTGTTAGAGATAGAGTGGCCTAATAAGATAAAACTTGTTTCTCAATAAAGATTAAAATAAAAATGCGCGAAAATTACTTAGGCAAAAATGAATTTCTAATTCTAAGAATAATGTTAACAATTTTCGGTCACTGTTCTCTAGTAAATTAACATTTATAGACTAAAAAAATAAAACACGTCAAGTCAGGCTAAACTTGCAGTTAGCTACTCTGCCTTTTCCGTAGTTAATCCAAATTAATAATTATCCGTCCGGCAACAGGTTACGTATATATGGCAAACACTTAACGTATAAACAGAATATTTATTATAATAATTAATTATATTATTTGTTGATATTTAGCACGCTTCAATACAACAATTACGCCGTTTACAGATACGGAGCCTTCGTGCACAAATCCCTTTCACAGTTGGCCGTTTTTTTTTATTTTCCAAGCCAATTTATCAAGTGAAACAGACGTGTGTCTCGGGTTATCCGGGCGGGGTAATGCGACAATGGCGCATCGCCTGAGAGCTACCACGTCAGCAGTCGTCTTCAAATTACCTACTATTGCATCTCGGATATTGCTTTATACGTGTACGACGATGATGCTTCGTAATAACTGCGCAGTTTGATATTTCCTATTATATTTTACGTAAGCACGCGAGCTTTGATCAATGTTAGTCTTTGGTTGGAATGTGTAAAAAGTATTTACGTGTGTACTAGCTGTGCCAGCGACTTCGTCCGCGTAGTTTAGTTATTTTGGGTGTTCAAATTTGTGTATGCCAACCTCCTCATTCATAAATTATAGTTTTACCGGCGATGTTGTCCGTGTCCCGTATATACATATTTTTTTGATATCTTGAAACGTCTTGAAACCTTACCCAAGCCTTTAAGATGAATTGCCGTTCTTTCCACATTCCCCACTGCTTCTTCGCTCCTATTGGTCACCACTTGATGTTTTATAGCCTCAACCATTTCTCGATAAATACGAATCAACATCTATCCAACTCAAAGTGAAGTGTTCAATTCGAACCAGCACTTCTTGAGATTTACGAGTTCAAAATAAGCTAATCAAGCTTTATAATATTAGTATAGCTAGATTTGGATTTATGCTCCCCAGAGGAAACATCTTCATGAAACCGGCATGTCTTATCACCAAAAGTTGGTGATGTGTCTCCGCCCTATAGAAATTCTGCTATCGTATAAGCTCTGAGAATGTGAAACTCTTACAGAACTGATAACAAATAAGTATATTTTAAAATGTAAATCTCATCTATTTTGAGAAAATCCAGTTCTTGGTTCTAAGCTTAAGAGAGTTTATACAGATCTTAGAGTGACTATCTTTGTAAAAGTTTAAAAACATTGCGCAAATTATAAAAGCTTTCTCATTAGCCTTATGTAAAGTAGCAATCAACTAATTGAGTTGATTTAAGTAAAGGAATTTGTGTATTTGGATCGAAAGTGCATTATGCAGCGGAAGATTGCCAAATGAAGGTAAACTCTGGTTGGTGTTCGCTAGGTTTGGTTCCTTGCCAGACGCTAGTACAAGCGCCCAGGTCGCTGTATTAATTTTAAGTATTTTTACACTGACCTTAATTAAAGTTTGGGTAAATAAATTTCAATCTTAAAGAACATTATTTCTGATATGATAAAAAAAAATTGACCCGGTATTTTTTCTAGTGTCATGTTAATAAAAAGGACAAGGTGTGTAGTTTACGCGAGTAGTACACATTTAAATAAAACACTTTACCGGTTCAAAATAAATTGACAAAGCATCCGAAACGTCAGGCCGTAGTTAACATAATTTTCAAACAAATTTACCTAATATAAATCGCGTTTTAAGGTGTTCAAGTGTTTTATATAGGTTTAGTTTTACATTACGTAGTCCTTTAAGATAAAAAATATAACGGTATTAATAACACTCAATTGTACCAAATACCAATATTTTTATACTTGTATTCTTATGTAGCCTCATTAGGATTAATCAATATCATTATTTCGCAGTGACATGGGTCCTAACAGGTGTTTAACGGATGAAAAGTGTTTCTCTACAGTCAAACACCATAAGCTCTAATAGTTAAAACCTTTTATAAACATATTGTAGATTAAATATGAAAATTTTAATAAAGAATAATCTTTACTAACATATAATATAAAAAAATCTCATTGTACTTTGAATTTTAGTCACAGCTTACACTGCCAGTGTATATCAACAGAGCAAATTAAAACACAACAATTTTGTCAAAAGTTTATTCAAAAATAAATATTATTCACTAACAACATTATAATTTCTACACGTGTGTAAATGGAATGTAGATTCGTGTATATTTTGCTACTGGTATTGCTTACAGGTTCAAACAAGTTAACAACACAGACAGGTACTTGTAAGGACGTTTTAAAACTATGAAAACATTCAACGAGTCAACACGAGGACAAATAATTTTCTTCAAGTACCAAAAACATTATTGAACCAAACTAATTGGTATATAAGATACAAAAGTAATATTATAAATACACTAGCTATAAAAACTAATTAAACGAGATGCCACAATGTCTTATTAGCAATTTTTCTTAATTAACACAGATTTAAAACCTTTTTATTTCGCATGATTAAGCAGGGGTGAGCAACATTTTTGACCAAAAAGGCCTGCATGAAATTTAGACTTAAGTACCACAGAATTATTTTGCATTAAATTGAAGTTATATTACGATTTCAATAGTGAAGAATTTAGTACTATTTCGTCTACCTCTAAAAACAGGAAATCTTAAAATAATTCTGCGACTCGCTTGAAACTTGTTGAAAGTTGAAAGTTGCTCACTACTGCTTTATATAGATTTTTTAATTATTATTTTTATTGGTTTGAACAAAACCGGCTACTCGAGATAGACCACAAGCTACGAGCTAAGCGATCGTTTATGTGTACATTACTTGTAATTTGATCAAACCATTACCATTAAATAAACAGATTGATGCACTGAGCATCCATTTATTTAATTCCTGCAACGTGGAATAGATAAATTATATTTGGTTTTAATAAAACTCTCGCCTCTATATGCACACTAGCGAGGGACTTCGCACTATTATAATTTAACTACCGAGAATATCTTTTCATTGGCAGCTATCAAGCAAGGGCCCATACATTAATTCTAACAATCAAAGCCCGAACGATAAAAATAACTTTTAACTATAACTATGAGAAATATTGAATTAAAAAATATTGTAAATAGAGAAGTTATCTTTAATGGACGACCTGATCTCAATCGTGGGAACAAGTCCCACTTCTGAGATTAATAATTTTCCATCAGTGTTAAGATAATTTAGATGCCATGTTGGGTCTTTAACGTTCAACGCTAAAATACATACGTTTTGTATACAATAATTATTAACATTAGTACCCTAAAGTATTCGAAAAACGTATAATTAAACATTTTAATAATAACTATAAAAATAATTTACGCAAATAAAATTAGGACACACGATTCATAAATAAGTCAACGTGGCCTGAATTTCAAGGCTACAAAACATTCTGCACAAGGGTACTTTTAAATAAAACACTTTTAACGGTTTCAAGCACGAAATGATATAAGTTACTACTACATTTTATAGGTACTTATTAAATAATATTATTTTTCGCTTCAAACGGTTAGAAGTGTCTTATATATAACGAATATTTAATTTTAATACCAACGGCCTAGCTTGTGAAGTTATAAATATCGTTTGTTTACTTTACGTCAAGTGACAAAGACAAAAAGATATTCAAGCATAGACAATTTCATCAAAGCTAGTGATATTCCCAATGCCAGCGAACCACCGCATAACTTTGTTACGCAAACAACAAAAAATGTATATAGTAACCATATGTATTGTGGTCACATCGTGTTTGTGTTAACGGATTTCTTGGTGGCTGAGACTCTGGGTGAATTAGTGTACAACTTCTTGAATAGCTCCTGAATGTTGTTATCGGGAAACAGGTTGCATAGTGTCACTAAAAAATCGTCACAATAACATACAACCAAATAACATACACCAACCAAAAAAAAAACCACACCAAATAACATACTAACAAATACTGAGGATTTTCCAGTAATATTTGATGTTTTTTTTAATAAAAAATAAAATACATACCTTCTAATAGTACAAAAAGTAATCGCCTGTTAATTTCTTGAGTTTGGAATAAATCAAAGACAGTGAGTAAGCCCCTGCGTGCTGCGTCAGTCCCCACTATGTGTTTTAGGTCGTCTATGAAGGAAATAAAATAATTGTTGTTCATTGGTGTGTAATTATATACGAGATTAAAAATATCGTAATTATATAGCATTTTAAAATAAAAAATTTATATTAAATTTAAAAAAAAAAATCCCCCCGGGGGGGAAAACACCGCCGCCCCCCCCCCGGCCCCCCCCCCCCCCCCCCCCCCCCCCCCCCCCCCCCCCCCGCGGGGTTTTTTTTTTTTTTTTTTTTTTTTTTTGGGGGGTTTTTCCCCCCCCCCCCCCCCCCCCTGTCTAATTCTCTCCCCCCCCTTTTTTTTTTCCCCCTTTTTTTTTTTTTTTTTTTTTCCCCCCCCCCCCTTTTTTTTTTTTTTTTTTCCTCCCTCTAACATTAAAAAAACATGTTAGTTTTTAAATAACAACATTTTATTTTTTATATTTTTTAAATTATTATATTATTTAACGAATATTTCAGATTTTTTACATATTAATATAATATTAGAGCTTTACCTGGAGCAGCAGCGAGCAGCGCAACTTTCGCTGCAACTCTTGTCCTCGCTTTAGTCGCAGCATCTCTACTTGAAGAACTGGGATTGTTGCGAGTTGTCAACCATTGTCTGTAAAGATATTTTGTAATTATTTAAGTAAAAGTTACTCTAGTCTAAAGGGGAAGCATTAACTATAGAATTGTATTATATATTAATTTAATTAAAGCTTTTGTTTACTTTCTGACTTTAAGTACTAATAAGAAGATAAAACACTTGAACGGTATAAAACGCGATATATTAGTTAAACTTATTTGAAAATGATTTTTAACTTCGGCCTGATGTTTCGGATGCTTTGCAGCAGCCGTGGTTATGGGCCCGTTTTATTTAAATCTGTACCACTCGCGTATACTATAGACAGTATTTACTAATAAGAATTCTTGTTCAAACTTACTTGAATGATTTTAAATACTGGACGACGTTACGTGGCGACGTTAATGACGCGACCAATTCTAACACTTTTCTGAAAAGAAAATTTAACTGTATTTATATAACAGAATGCTATGTCAAGTCACTGTTTGGTAATAATTATAATAAATATTACTAGAATGTTTGTACCAAATAACCAAAGTATCAGGTATGATACATAAAAAAACGAGGGGACGAACACATTTCTGTATGCATTTCATTTATGGAAAATAGTACAGGAATAGCGATCTCTTGTCCTGCCCGACCAAAACAATATATTGCTCGAACAATTGAATCCAGTACCTCCCGCGCTTAACGCTATTAAGGCAACACGTTAAACCATTTGGCTACAGAGGTGGTCATGATATGACATATACTTACTTGTTAACTCTATCTGCGATAAGAGTTCTAATGGGAGCCAGCAATCTTCGCCTCAGCCAAAGACCACGAATACCAAGAACTTCTTCCAACAGTTTTAGCGGTATGCTTTCATCTCCTTCCTAGAAAAAAATATTAACATCTTTATACGCATGCTAGATCAAGCTACAACCGTACTCCACCAAGACCACGCAACAAAAGAGCACCCTAATTTGTAGGCTTTAAATTTTCTGACATAACAATATTTTATATATACTATTAACAATAATCTTACATCTGGTCCTTCAGAAGTGGGATCCCTCTTAATACTGTCGTAGTCATTCTCCCCACTTTTCCCTTGGAACACCTTGGATATGCCTGGAAATATAAAAGCGACGTTTTTTAAATTGAATTAAAATAAATCTTTAGTACGTTACTTACTTAATTTTTTTTACGATAACTAGATTGCTGTCGACCTATTATGTCTTTGTAAATCACTAAACAAACACCGAATTTACCCTCATTTTAAAGACAAAAAAAAAGAATGTATTTTTAAATGTAATTAGTTTTGAATTACCATCCATAACACCGTCAACTGTGTTTGCGAATTGATCGGGCATACTTTTTAGAGTCCTCATTCCAGCCTTTATTGAATTCACAAGAAGAGCGTCAATCTGAAAAAAAATTAATAACGAGATGGCGCTTTATAATATAACCAAGCTGAAGAGTTTGTTTTTTTTAAAGGGTTTATTTCCGGAAAAACGGGTTCGAAATTAAAAAAAAATTTTTTTTTTTTTTTTTCGGGGGAATTTTTTTTTTTTTAAAACCCCGGGGCCCCCCCCACCCCCCCCAAAAAAAGGGGGGGGGGGGGGGGGGGGGGGGGGGGGGGGGGGGGGGGGGGGAAAAAAATTTTAAAAAAAAAAAAAAAAAAAAATAAAAATTTTTTTTTTTTTTTTTTTTTTTTTTTGCACACTAATTTATAAAGCTTGAGGTTGTTTGCAAAAATGGCGCTTAAAATAACTTTTCTATACGGGCAAAGTCGCGTGCACAACAAATTTTGCATATTAAGATTATAGCAAATATTATAAGATGCATACTCACGGTGTTGCCATGTCTCTCGGTCTGTATTTCAGGACTTAGAAAGCCACCCAGATAGGCGGGCGATAGTAGCGCCATGTACCTTGCGTCGCGTGAAATACTTGTCAGATGCTGTAGGTAGCTGTTGAGCATCCGTTTCCGGCTCTCCAGGACCGTTCGAGATGTGTTCTGAAATGTCTTCTTCGCTGGAAAGGGTAGGTTCCCCAGCTCGGGCCACTAAAATAATGAGAGGTGTATTTAAAAGTTTTTAAAGACCTGCTGTAAATTAAGTTCCCACCAAAAATATAAATGTAAAAAAGACAGTCAAGTTTGTGTTTGAGTTTAAAAACATTACATTGTTTTTTTTACTTACTTTATCTTTAACAGCAGAATGCAATTCATAGAAATCGCTATACCGCCTGTAGATGTGCCACACTTCGTTATCCGAAGCTCTGGTCACTGCTATCGCGTATATCCCAAAGGTCCTCCCTTTGTCTTGTACTAAAGCTAAGTGAAAAAGGAAATATTCACGTTAATACAATATATATTACTGTGCTTTATTACAACCCTTATCACCACACTTGGGAAAGACTCTGTGTTCTGGGTGGTAGAAGATTTAGTGGCTTTCTAATGCACGTGGAAATCAATATTTCATAAATACTTGTTTGTTGACTAGAGCATTTATCATTAATTATATTCTGGTGAAACAGTAGTTCCTAAGATTGGCACGGTCAAACAAACAAACTCTTCAGCTCTATAGTATTTGTATAGATTAATACTTACCAGTCTCAATAATATAAGCGGACAGCGGCGACAAGTAGTTTTTCGCTCGCCCACTTATCTCCGTGTGTGACAGAGACAAATTACTCGAATTACTCGACGCTAAATTGGAAGATCCTGTAAGAACGTACCACGTTTAATGTAAACGGTAGACTGCGTAATCTACCACTCTCTACCGTTTTACTGACCTACGGCTACGCTCTCGTTGAGCATTTTGTGAGCGAAATTGCCTACAATGTCTGACCGCGATCTGTTATGCCTCGACCCAGGTACGGGCAATACCACATCACCTGGAAATTTTCGCTCGTGTAATGAATTAGCTTAATGGCAAAATGAAATAATCAAATCAATACTATTGATATTAGGCTGTAACCTACACTAACTACAGGCAAACACGCATGTTATACATACTATACAAGAGTGCTACTTAAGATATCGTAAGCAATAAATACGCGACTTCAATTGTTAAATAGAGTGCTCCTTTGGAAAAATATAAAATGGATATAAAAATAATAATAGTATATTCTTATTTAATATTGTAATGCCCCAAGGGCCCAAATTACGATTAGACGATACGTGAATTTATTTTACTAAAAACTATAGATTTACTGTACCTATACTTGAATATTGTTTACAATAAATATTTTCATAAATCTAATTTGATTCTTGTAGTCATTATGAACATTATTTTTGATATTCTTACTATATCAAGCCAGATTGTGGATAATTCCTGACTGGTAATTAAGAAATTATATATATTTAAATAAAACCCTTTTATCACGTAATATAATAAGTCATCTTTAATTAATTTAACTACCAAATACCATCTACGAAAAAATAGATGGCGTAGCAGTTTTGACTTTGACATTAGAGACATCCCCATCTTAAGTTGCAGCAGCTCTGGTCTCGGAGGGGACCAGGGCTGCTGCAAAGCATCCGAAACGTCGGGCCGTAGTTAAATAATTAACAACATTTCGCGTTTTTAAATCCTTAAGTGTTTTATTGAAATGTGTACTACTCGCGTAAACTACAGACTATAATTACATTAGTTCACATAGATATAGTTATACAAACAACATACATGCAGACATAAGCTAACCATACCATGCAAATATATCTAGCAAAATATACCGTTAGCACATTTAGGGATAGTGTGGTTCTTGTAAGTAGGGATTCTTCGAGTAAAGGATCGGGGAAAGGTGGAGGACTTGGTGGGACTTGCGTATCTATATTTGGACTTTTGGAATAGCTTGGGAAACTGATTTAAACACGTCTTCATCAGTCGCTTGCATCTTTCTGTAAGCATTAGTCTTTTTGAGGCATTCACTTGTCATACCGATGACATGCAATAGTATTTTATTTTAACATCAATATATGGGAAATATAGCTTAGCTGCCTGAGATTAAATAGATTTTCCAGTGAATGACTCTGTTAATGCGATAAGCAATCGTAAAGACAAATACGCCATACCTCCATATCTTTTGCCTTCGATTTTTGGCTCCTTTCTGAAGTCGCTGAAAAATAAAAAATTAAGCTGAAAAATCCGAAACCATTTATTTCTGTTCTGATATAAAATTGAATAAGTAAATTTAACAAATATATATTTACGTAGAGTAAAAAAAATATAGTGACAAATAAATACTGGGTACTTTCTTTATAATACCACCCAAAATTTTTAAATTTGTCCATCTTATATTGAACTAAGCTTACCTATTCCTATCCGATGTGTCTTGTTCGGGGTCCAACATAAAATCAGCTTGCCAGGTGGGGTCATCCTATATTATTAACAAAATAAATTACAAATTATAATTACTTTCATAAATTTAGGTTAACTTCTATGACAAAAAAATAACGGTTTAATACAAGACATGTTTAAAATACTTATTATAAAACACCCTCAAAAAAAGGTCTTGAGTCCCAGCAGTGGGAACGGATGCAGATGAATAACATATAAAAGAAACCCACCTCCAACGCATTACAGACACACTTTTGCACATCATCGAAACACGATAGCGGGTTGTTAGTGAACTCTTCGCCCTCCGTGGTAATCTTGCGCACCATTTCCGCGTGACAGTTCTCCGGGAGGCCCATCACTTGACGGTTGGGGGCTAGATACAGATCGCAGAGCTCCAGAGCTGACGAGCGAAGGTTGTCTATGACCGCTTTGGATGTATGAGGGACGTCTAGGGTAACATATAACACATTTAATTTTATTAATATTTGTCGTTAAAATGAACTAAGTCAAAATCTCGAAAATATGAAGGCAACGACAAATTCTTAAATTTCTATAAAAGCAAGAACAAACTTTCTTTTTTGAAGAGTGCAATGTTTTCCTGTGATTTTCAGGGTTACGGTAAAATTTAGCATGTAATCTTAGATAGAAGTTAAGTTACAGAAAAACCAAAACGATTATAAAAAAAGTAACGTGAATAAAATATCGAACTGGACTTGGCCCGTCAGTCTAAGCGTTTCGTGCTGTTGCTCTAACCAGAATTAGCTCAATAGCTACCGTGTTCTATACGTCATCGTCGAATTTTTTCGACAATACATACCTTTCGCCCAATGTGATTTCAACTTTAACACTCCGTAACACATCCGTTGGGTATTTAAATAAAACACTTTAACGGATTAAAACGCGATATATTAGTTAAACTTATTTGAAAATGATTTTTAACTTCGGCCCGACGTTTGGGATACATTGCAGCAGCCGTGGTCACGGGGAGACAATAAAAATCATTTTCAAATAAGTTTACTTAATATATCGCGTTTTAAACCGTTAAAGTGTTTTATTTAAATATACTTTATTATATTATTTGCTTACTCAACTAAACCAAGCTCTATCCAGAAGTTTAAATAAACTTTTACCGATGGCTCAATCCTAGCTCTATAAACAAATTCTCACCAGCCTCGTTCATCTCTATCTCCAACAGATACTGGGCATTGGACCTCCAAGCTGCTGTAGCTCGCAAAAATTTCAAAGATCTAAGAACTTCCTCCGAAACTTTCTCCGTGCTTGCAGCGGCTCCGGTTCCTGGTGTACCATATATATATTAAAATTTCGATTGAATATCGACATTTCAAGACGAAGTCCAACACGTTAAATATAATTGGATTAAGAAATAAATGTAATAACGGAACCGGTGGGGATCGAAGCCACAAACCGTTTATTATAAACCGTACATTGCTACAATTACACTGATGCCCGTCATAGGTATATCTTTTTGACTTGATCTGATTCTCTAATATCTTATATATTAAATTAATCACTTGTAAGTTGGATAATATTGAGAATTATATAACTACTTATACTCGCCTTCTTGAGGTCCCAATGTGGCTCTTCGTGCCTGAATTATTCTTGCTAAGTATTGCAATGATGACAGCTTCTGGCGATCTTGTAATTCCCATTCGCCAGCGCTATCTTTGGAATGCTAAAATAATAGTTATGTAAGGAAACTAGAGGAAAGATTTATTAAATATTTGTAATGTAGTAATTACAATTACAGACAAAACAGTACATTGTGTAAGTCAAGTACTTGTGTAGACGCTCGAAATCACATCGTCAAAACTGCGAACTTTTAAAATTATAATTAAACAACATCTGTCTTAAAACAAGGTTCGTAAGAGTATCTGTTGAAATTAATAATTTTTGAACAAATTAATAGCACTTTTTTTTATTCTTTTTTTTCCACTTTATTATAATAAAACTAAAGTGTTTTTAGACACATTTAGAACTCACGAGTTTCTGTATATCCTTCTGAACCAATTCCAGTGTGGCATCCAGTTCTTCAGCATCTGCACACGTTCTTATAACGAGTAGGAACAGCTCTGATGACAGACATGAATCACGGCAACACTAATAAAAGAAGGGCAGATTTAGGTTTTTTAACTAGGGAAATAAAAATACTAAAGGCAAGTTTTAAGTTTGGGGAACCAATTGATTTCAATCACAGGTTCGAACCCTTTGTTATTTAAATAAAAAACTTTAACGGTTTAAAACGCGACATATATTTGTTAAACGTATGGAAATATACTATACGTATTCTAACTACGGCCCGACGTTTCAGATGGTTTCTGCATCCAAAAAGTCGGGTCAGCGTCAGGTGCTGCATCCTGCGTCCTCTGTTATTTCTTTATCAACTATTCAAGTTTATTGTTACAAGCATATATTTGTAATATGTAAAATCGAATACTTTCATTTACGCGAGTTGTACATTACAAACACTTTTGACAGTTTAAAACGCAAAACGTATTAGTTAAACTAGTAAATATCACCATATGACATTAAAAAATACGAAACGTAGGTAAAATAAATTTATAGTTTATCTTTCATCTTGTACAATTTAATAAAAGAAATATCATAAGCTACTTTAAGATTGATAATGAAATTAATTATAAAATCACTAACTGTTCTTATAATCGCTCGGTTAATGGTGTCTGGATCACTCAATAAATTAAAAATTGGCTTTAAGACGATCGCCGATAATAGCTCAATTATAATAAGTTTCAATGCGTGACAATTCCAGGCCTCCTCAGGCGCAACTAAATACAATATGGCTTCTGATACTTCACATAGTAACGCTGTGAACATTACACAAATTAAAAATAAGTTTCCAGTACTTCTGTAGAAAAAAAATTACATAACACAATAAGAGAATTCCAACAGAATATACACAATACACACATATACAAAAAATTAAAACATTTTCAAGAAATAACATTTATAATGATTTTGTTATACTAAGTAATTTCGATTTACCATATTCCTTCTCAGGGTCCATGCAGAATGTATCTCTGCACTGTTGTTTATTCTCCATGGCGCACTCTAGATCAAAGAACAGATCCTTCAAATTGTTACTACCTATATTTTCTGAACTACCGTAAAATTTAGATTTTCCAAATGTCTGTGTATCTGAAAATAAGTATAATGTATTGTAAATTCTTAGTGCATAAAATTCACAACATATGCATGTGTTGTGTGCAGAAGTAAACTAAACATTCATATCAAAATGCAATAATATTGTATTGTATGTCTTATATTTGGAACTTGACACGGAAACTACAGCAATCCATGCTGTTGCTCTAACCAATTGAGTTACCATGTCATTGGGTTTATTGATTTTTAATTTATATGGTGCCATCATGTGAAATAACATGTGACAAATATATAAGTTTTCAAACATCTTAATTCATCACATACCTGGAGCCCACGACAGATCTGTATCACTCTTGTTTCGTCTATGAGCCCTCTTATCATCTTGTTTCTTAGGACTTAATTTTGACGTCCCATTGGCAACCTCTTTGGCACTAAGTAATTGTAAATGTTTCAACTTTACCCTAGATTGCTTAAATAATTTTAAGTGTGTTGTTAATTCTTCTGGAAACTTTGTAGATAATAAATAAATCCAGTCAACCAATTTAATTCTGAAAGAAAATAACATTTTTTTAAAATCTATTTATAACACACTAGCTGTGCCCGTGACTTCGTTCGCGTGGAACAGTGACTTGGGGTAGAATTTTTAATTATTTAGGCTGTTTATTAATTTATGTAATTGGGCATTTATCGCAGCCAATCTATGTTGAAAGTGTTAGTTTGCCGCAACACTCTCACCTCACATCACTCCTACTCTCACTTCCACTCCTATTTACAAAAAGTCAAAAAAGAAGGTTCATTGTTCTAGCTTCAAAAACCCCCCTTTTAACCTTTTAGAACCCCCTTATCGCAAAAAAACATCCTTTCTCAGGGTCTAGACCATATGTGTACCAAATTTCATTCAAATCCGTTCAGTAGTTATGGCGTGAAAGAGTAACAGACAGAGTTACTTTTGCATTTATAATATTAGTAAGGATTTCTGATTTATATTTATAGTTAAGGATACTTGCTTAGTTCTTACCTATTAGTAACATTAGCACTAGTCATTACCACAGTTCGTTTTATAGCGTGATTTGTAAACTCTTGATCATCAGTTAGTACTTCATACCATGGTGTCACATAGTCATTAATAATGATGGTAATGATCTCATTAAGAAATGAGTCAACAGTCTCGCTGCCTGTAATTCTGCTGTCGAATTTTGGTGGAGGGTTATCATTTTTAAATAGCTGCAGTATCTAAAAAATTATTTAAAACGTGAGTAACATAATGAACGAAATCAATGGTACAAACAAAAACTAGCTTCACAACAACTCTGTCGGCCTCTGAACTGCCACATATAATTGATTGATAAAGCTCTCAGTATTAATTATTATATATTCCCTTATGTGGCGGAATGGGCGGACATTATTGTTCCTTTTAAATAATACACATTAACGGTTTAAAACGCGATATAACTAATATATCGCGTTTAACATTAACTTATTAGAAAATATTTTTTTTTTACTTTGGCCCGTGGTTTCGGATGCTTTGCAACAGCAGTGGTCAAAGGACACAGTGCGAATCCAAAACGTTGGGCCGAAGTTAAAAATTAAATTAAGTTTTTAAATAATATATCGCGTTTTAAGTGTTTTATTTAAATGTGTACTACTCGCGTAAACTATATACAGCATTATTGCTCCTTTTTCACAAATCTATTTTATTTACAAGCAAGTACATGCCACTGAGACAATATTCTTAATATATTATTAATAACCAACCTTTGGTGACTGTATAGAAAAGTTTGTCTGCTGTAATGGATCATCCAAACAGTCAATATCTGCAGAAAATATCTTCCTACTATCAAAACTCAAGTGTAAGATAGTCAAGACTCTGAAAACAATTATGATTTTTAAATATAATTGTGATCATGTGAATGTAAATGTAGATGTTATAATAATTCTTAATCAACTTACCCAGCTATAAAAAATATGAAAAATGTAAGTAAGGCTAAGTACAAACTAAAGCCTAATAAGGCTATTGTAATTACAGAAATTAGGCTAAACCAGGCTAATATCCTGTAGGCCATTTTGAAGTTTATTGTAAATCTTTACACTAGAACCATATCGCACTCCAAATAAAAAAATAAATAGTTTGTATTGTTTTGATATACAAACTACAAGCTTTAGGTGGGAACATAACTAAAGGCTAATTAGCTATTAAAATGGAATTATAACAAAAACAAATAGAGCTGTCACTGTCAATGTCAATGATGCCATGAAATATCAGTTTTTAGTTTGACGTGGTATATTTGACAGTTTTATCAAATGACTTGGAACATTGTCTATTAATCATGAAAACTCCTTATAACTCTCATCTTAACTTTTAATAAATTTCCCTTGTTCTCTTATTTTTTCTGTAATCATTAATAAAGATATGGCTAGATCAGAGTATCTAACAAACGGAGGTTTTTGCCGCTAGAGGCAGAGTAGCCTAACTGCAATTTTAGGACTTGAGTTATTTATATTTTCATAGTCTCAAAATGATCAGCACAGGATCGAAAATTGTTAGCAAAATGTTTACATTTATAATGGTACAAATTCATTTTAGCCTAAGTTAATTACGTATTTTTATTTTCCTTCTTATTAAAAATCATATTTTTTGTTATCAGGCCCCTCTGCGTCTAGCAGCCTCATATAAATGATATAGATCAGTGTATCCAAAGCCGTTTTTTTTAACTGATGGTGTAAATGCCTAATGCACGCCCACGTTGGACAAGTGTGACGAGGGGAGTGAGGTAAATCGTATAGTGTAAAGCCTAAAAATTTACTTTGGGATATTTTAATTAACCATGCGCACATTTCCCCTAAAATTAAGCATTAAAGGTTCATATTAATGGAAAAAGTCAACGTGTATCACTTATTTTATTTATAAATACAACACGATCACAAGAAATGTTACGCAACATTACGCAGGAATCAAAGTAGTGTGTAAGATACTTTAAACTTTTGAGGACTATTGAGATGCCAACGCCACTATGGAATATTTTTATAGTCTTTAAAAATGAACTGTACCGTACCGTATAAAGTAAATATTGACTAGATCTACAAAAAATAGCAACCTTTCAGTATCGGTTCATAATTTATAGGTTTCCATTTTCCATCAAAAACGTAACAATACATCTCGTCAAACAAATAAAAATTCACACACCCACGTTGAAACCCTTAGAAATAAGTTACAAAGTCTATACTACTTACATTGTATAATACTAGATCATAATTAATAATTTATTGTCAAAACATGGAAACTTAACATACATGGACTAAATCAATTTGCAACAATTACTCGGATTACATTTGCTAGAATTATAGCTTTCAAATATACTATCGATAAAAAATCTTCTATTCCTATTGGCAGTCTGACAAAGATTTAAATATTTCAACGTAAATATGTCAGTCTGAATCTCAAACTTCGTATTCCCGGGAGCAATGGAACTAATACATTAATATGACTGCATAATATAAAACATTTTGGAGGCAACCAAAAATCAATAGAATTAATATTTGTACTACCATTAGAACAAACCTAAGAATAGTGAGAAGTGCTTGATGTGTTACCTTAAAACAAAGCGTAAGCATTATTGGTACTTAACATATATGCCATTGGAAATAAGCTCGCATACGCTACAGAAGACAAAGGACATTGTGATTAAATAATTTACTTATAAATTATGTGTTTCTCAATAAATATTAGGTTACATAATACCAATAAATTTGACATACATTTAGCGTTACTTATTTAAAAATTGATTGTTGCTCATTTATATAGTAACACAGTTTTGAAAATCAAAGTACAACCTTTCCATTTGTGCACGACAAAAGCAAATACATCAAGTTTTTTGGTTGCTTGGGTTTCCGAAGAACGCTTAACATCTCCTGTCATCCACTCGGTAAGGGTAACGTCCAGAATTATAACTCTAATACCGAACAGCTCCGAAACCCAAGTAGTTTTGCCATATGACCGCGATAGCCTTTATATATTATATAATCTGTAGGTGTAACAAAAAACGTGAGAATTTTCAAATTATATTTTTAAATGATATTCTAGTGTTAAAGGTTATTCGTCATACATACCACACATTAAGAGTCGTGATGGATGGTTAGTTCGAGTCTTGACTTCTGTCAATGGTCACCAATTATCAAATGAAAATTGAAATAAGGGTAGGAATATATATCTACACATAATATAGGGTAAAAATAAGTGTAAGATAGTCAAGACTCTGAAAAAATTATGATTTTTAAATATAATTGTGATCATGTGAATGTAAATGTAGATGTTATAATAATTGTTAATCAACTTACCCACTATAAAAAATATGAAAAATGTAAGTAAGGCTAAGTACAAACCAAAGCCTAATAAGGTATTGTAATTACAGAAATTAGGCTAAACCAGGCTAATATCCTGTAGGCCATTTTGAAGTTTATTGTAAATCGTAATGTATGTAAGGTACATGTATATATTTTATTTGCGTTTAACAAATACGGATCAGATCTATTATAAATTAGCTTTAATAATTAAACAACAGGAGAATATCGCGATAGTAATGTGTCTATATCTAGGCGTTTTGTACGAATTAGCCTCATATAGGCAAAAAAATTAGCGGGACAAAGCTATGCAATCAAGGGCCCATCCAAAGAGCAATGGACAAAAGCCCTCCTGCTGTCTCCATAACTGGTTATATCTACTGAAGCTATATAGCTATTTAGCTCTGCAAACAACTTATTATAAACGCTTTGAAAGCTGAAACCGCCCAGCTATGTATGCATTATACATGTGTTTATTTTTTTACTCCTCACACATTTTAGGAACATTCATATAGCAATTTGTAAGTAGACATAGCAGGTTTCACGACTTCTCTAAAACTTTGTATGTTACCACGAAATCATTTGCATTAAGCATGGATGGTGGAGGGGATTTTACAGGTTGAATGTTCTTACCTAAACTACAATTACTACGTCAATATAATTTGCAGTTTGTAACGAACGTTAATATACATTGTATTATAAATATTATAACATAGTCAACAAGAATATCAACAATGGACTCATTAGTACTATCAATAATTGAATAAATACACGACAAGTAGGAGATATAGATCTGGGGGGCAATTCTGAAATATGTTACCATTTAGAACGTACTTGTCGTAATAATTGCGACTTATTCCAAGAATTGCCACCACATCGATCTTAAGAAAATGTTTTATGGTAAAAGCCAATGAAGTAATGATAAGTAGGTGACGGTTAAGGTTTTTCTGTAGTTAACGAATGGTACATATAATTTTAACAGTTTGAAACGTGAAGATATCAAATACCTGGAAATATTAAAAACACTAAATGCCCGAAACGGTACACTGATAAGCAAGAGGATCGTGAATTCATACTTTGAGGATCCAGCTAGATTCTTTAAATGTCAATTACATACAAGGAAACAGTGAAAACTGTGGGCTCATTCACCATCTTTAGCCCCCCATTACCAAGATAGTTTGAAAGCAGGATGCTTAGACATTAACAAAAAAGAGAGGTCGTAGTTAAAATAAATTAAAACATATAACAATAAAAAAAATACGTTAACTTCAACGTTTCAAACCGTTATTTTAAAAGAATTTTATCATTCTTCGAGTTTTACCATAAAACGACTTGTTATCACCGAGCGAACAATGTACTGCAAATACATTATATCAATATTTAATATTTGTTGTATCGTTAAAAAAATATTTTTAACACAAAAAAGTTTCTAGTTTCTCAGCAGTCTAATCTGTATTTTGCTCAAAACTAATAAATGCATCAACTATGTTTAAATTCAATAAATATTGATATTATGTATGACTTATTTTTAACAGCGCATTAATTTAATATTGTAGACGCAGATCTTGAACCGACAGTGAAATCTTTGTATTGGGAGAAGACGCAAAGCTGAAATTAATATTGAAAATGGATTAAAAAAATATTATAAGACAAGTGTTTTGCGAATGTTAATTACAATCTAATATAATTAATGTAACTCTGTAGATTTGTACTTACTAGTTAACCAGAAAACATTTTGGAATTTTAAATATTCAGTTAAGCCTCAAGGCCAACTGAAAACTATATTATCGAAAATGCTGATAAGATTATATCACTTTTAAACCTTAGATTTATGGTTTCGCAGAAACATGAACCAGCTGAGGAAAATTTAAATAATAGGGAACCGTGAACGAGGGTGATTGATGATACTTGGCTTTGGACATTCGTTAGTGAGATTGAAAAAAAACAATACAAACAAAGATACACTTAACAGTTTGTCCATCTGTGGACATTGATTCAGGACCCGGAAGCAATTTTGATATCCAGATTCACCAGACGAAGCCTAACGTTGCAGTAGGGGTATATACTAAATTTAAAATCATGTTGGCCCCAGTAGGAATCCTCTACCTTTCTTTTTGCCTTATTAATTAAGATTTTAGATACAGTACATTATCATACCTTATCTTTAAGCTGCTGACACATATGTAAAGCTGCAGTTAGCATGAAGAGGACGTCGCTTAGCCAAGGAACTGCACAGTCGGCCTGACAGGAATCAATACGCATCGTTCCGTGGTTGGAGCTCAGGTGGTACGCGACGAAGATAAGCTTGTGAGATTGAAGGTAGAAGGATATCGCCAAGTCTTCGGGTAGGTTTGGCGATAAGGCTTTCTGGGAGGAAATTGTGAATTAGAAATTTCACGAGATCTAAACACAGATTAAATAAATAACTAAAACACGATTTTATGTTAAAGTTAGTACTTAAAAACTTCATATTAATAAATCATGAGAAAATAGAAACCCATGGGAGCACCGCTCCAAACCAGTGTGTAAAATTCCGTTTACCCTCGTGGGGCATGGGGCGAACACATTTCTGCGTCTGTTTTAATGATCAGTTTCATTTACAGGCAAGTTGTTGATCATACTTCGGTCCCCTGGCAGACAGAAACAATTTTTTTTTTGGGATTCCAACCAGGGTCTTTGGCGCTTAATATAAGGCTAGGTAACATTTCTAAGCATTTGGCTAAAAAGGCGGTCGCTGTAATCAAAGGCATACCTAGAGCTAATAATTCCTATAGTTTTTAGTTGAGTGTCGCCCTCATTAATATAACGTGATTGCGTATGTGCACATGTAAAGATAAAAACAAACAACGTTACTATTTGAACCGCGATATCTTATACATTGCAATGTATGCATGCTCCCATATTAATAAATGTTTAAAAGAGAGAGAAAACGTTAAAAAATACGATTTCCCCGACCTTCTAGTTCTAGGACAAAACACAACGACAAAGAATTAATAAGCTAGTCACGAGATTGTTCTGTGGCGGATGTTACGGCTATTACTTGCGCTTTCATTGAGTCTGACCTTGCTATAGAGACATATACTATATTTAAGACAGTGAGATTCAAACTGATCTGTCTAGTATATGCAAAGAAACATATTGACAGACTGACAGCCAATGCAAGAACTAGACATTTTTTATAACAGCTCTGCATTAAGGAGAGAATAGAATAAGGAATATAACAAATATTTAAATTAGCTAGTGGCAACAATGATAAACTCAAAATGACATTGAGTATGTTTATTGATGCTGTGAGTGAACAGAACAGTGTATTTTTAGAAACTAGGTCAGGTATAGCATCTTAACACAAAGCAAATGGATAGCAACAAGAATTTGATTTTTACTAAACTTGAAGTAGTTGATGTTGACATATAAGGAAAATGATACAAAAAGTCCATTGCAGCTCTGTTCTATGTAAAACATTTACATATAAAGTACATAAGCAAAAACACAACAATTCCATGTAACTAATTTGTTAGTTTACACTTTTGACCTTTGGTTAGATAAAATTTATTACTAACGATAATGTTCCAACAGAAATTCTGTGATTAACAAGCTAAAGCCATATAGATACTTAGCGATAACTGCATCCAATGAAATTTATAGAGTAATAAAAAACTTCTATTAGATTAAAAATGCATTATAAATTATTGAATAATTATTAGTTGTGTATGTTTGTAGTTGGTAGAAAGCACTTATTGACCAGATTTTTTTTTTAAGTTTTGCAAGCCACAAACCAAACAGGCATATTAATATAAAATAAGACACAATAACAATAGAGGTCATGATTCAAAAATGTCAATTAATAGTCAATACCAATGCCACATGACACTGTAAAAAATAGTCGGTACAAAGAAAACTCACCATATTTCGACTCTTCATTAGCTCATCGATCGCTTTCTTCTTTGGCAAAACCAAGGCTGTTCTGGCTCTCTGCAAGGATCCTATGAGACATTGTATTATGTGAAGGACCTCTTCTGACGACCTGTAATATGACTACTACCATTAACTACTTTACTATTAATATTATAAAGCTTAGGAAATTGTTTGTTTGTTGAACGCGCAAATCTCAGAAACTGCTGATTCGAATCAAAATCAATTTGCGACGGGACGCGAACGACGCCATGGGTTACATCTATAATAATTAATAAAGATAAGGAGGAGGTTTGCAAAAACAAATTGTGACGCAGGCACAGCATGTAATCCTTAGCATCTGTTCAGTATAGTTTTGATTATTGTATTACCTCTCCCCTTTTTATTTACAACTATTACCTTACCTAAATACATAATTCTTGTCCACATTATCTATATACCCAATCGCCTGCTGCAAATGATTAGCAGCATCCTGAATTTGCTGCAACTTCCAAGGGCCATCTTGGTTTATAGATGTTTTACATGTTGTGTGCATTTGTCTAAGCACTTTGAAGCTTATGTCCTAAAATAATTGATTAATTTTGAAACTACTAATACTCATAATAAATGTCCCTATAAACAAACATAGTTAACATATCAATATTCTTCAATAAATAATGGATTTAGGCAAGTTTATAAAAGAAATGCAGATGTATCATGACATATCACATTATGAGATAATATCTTGAATAATGATTAGGATTAGGTTGTTCCGTTGTATGTCTTAATATTATATAACAGTATTCATAGTGAATGAACGAAAAAGAAGGTAAATTGTTAAATTATACTCATGTGAGAGTAGTTTATATCATAACTTTCTTAAGACTTTGATTTTACTTGATTTTGGTCTTAACTCAGCAAAAGATATAACATTGCTTTAATATATTCTATTTTAATAGTACTTCCATGAACTTACTGCATGGGTGATGCTGTCACCAGTGAGTGTCACAATGCATTTAAGTTGTTCAGGTTGAGAGGTTAGTATAAACTTATCCTGCTTTTGACCCTCATTTCCATATAATGGCACTGGAAATCTATGTGCACACTCCTGGAAACAAAAAGTTTAGAGACTAGCAGTTTGTTAAGACTGATTAAACCACTGACTTATTGCAAACTATTTGTTTTATATATATAATATATTTATTTATAAAGCCAGAAGAGAACTCTTGTAGTTAACATAATATAAGCAATAGATTGCTAGTGATGATGGCAATTTCTTTAGCAAATAAATATTCCAATACAGTTGAATACTAATGCTCACCACTAAAACAGTATGAAGTTGATGTAATATTGCGTGAACCTCCTCACGAAGGACCCATTCAAACTCCTCCTTCTATAACAATACAGTCCAATTAATACTTGCTCAATCAGCTACAACACCAGGACCATAACAATAGGTACATACCAAATTGGAAGCTTCTTCCTTTTCGTTGTCGTTCATGATTATGAAGTGTTGTAATATATTTATAAAAAAATCTAATTTGGGTAAATTCCTCAAATCTATATCATGATATTGCGGGAAAACCCACAAATTGAAATGGGAGTGACAATATCTACCATTAGTTATCAGAAACCCTATTTATGTAATAGATTTAGAACACAGTCGCCGAAAAAATACACATAAAATTCCGAAACTTAATTATGACTAAGTAATATATGTATTCAGAAATACAATAAATAATGTACTTAATTTCAGCACATATAAATTATATCATAATAAAATTGCAAATTTCGGAGTTCCGTTTGTTAAACGTTTACTAATATCTTTTTTTCGCAAGTATTCGGATTACTTATTAAAATCATATTAATATTAATTATAAATAAAATTGATCATTGGAAAAGAATAGCACACAAGTACAGAATACATATGACCAAACAGATGACAGACAGATGAATTCAAGAAACTGTAACCATAGATAGGATTAACAAGTGATTACTTTCTTAGTAAAACACAGATAATTTTTATAAATCACGTTTGGTCAGTGTAGCTACAGTTCCGGTATATATATACAGTAAAATGTAAACAAAAATAATATTTATTTAAATTCAAATTGATATGCAAAAATGAAACCGGGAATAAGTATTTTTCCTTTTTACAATTATACAGATTGCTGATTCTGTCTTTGTAGAAAACGCAAATTGTAATAGATAAAGCTAAAGCTTCTTTTTCGCAAACTTTTTAAAGAAACGTATAAAAAAAACATATAAAAATATTTTTGTTGAATTTGTCATTTCACATGGTATTAGCGAAATACATAGCTTTAATTATATTGTGTGCTACTAAACAAGCTGAAAATATGTATCCACATATTCTTCGAGCTTTTTACGATAAAATTGAAAAGATTTGCCGTGAAACTGGCATAATTGCAGGGTAACATAATATTTTAATTATTTTTCAACTACATATAAAACTAACTAAAAGTATGAATATTGTGCGGTATCACTATAATATTTAATTATATATACATGAACCTTTTATAGTGAATTTTATTTGATATGTGTGTTTCAGCAAATCAGGAAGACATATGAAATATCCTTATACCTTTTCTGCAAAAATAGCTCAATTTCCAATATTTTATTACCTTAAAAATAATATCATCTGGATGTATTACCCACCTGGTTGTGTCATAGCACTTTATTTTATTAGCAAAATTCATAATACAGTTAATTCCGAAGCAAATGTCCGATCATGGGCAGAAACGCAAAGAAAAAATGCCGAAAAGGAAGCACATCATTAATAACAGCAATCTTAAATTAATGTTTATAAAAGCAGCTTATATTTCAATAAAATAAGTACATTAATTTAAATCACATAGAATGTGTTATTGTTAATTTTTGTGTAAAAGTTTGGAAGTCAAGAGAAATGTGTAAAGAAAATAATGTTGGGTTATAGTGTCATATATGTATTACAGTCAGCAGCATCTTCTAAGGTTGAACCTTGCTGGCTGTATACCTACATTGTACAATTAATATTTTTCTAAATATCGCGCGCTTCTGGCTTACAAACTATTTTTTTTTAGTGTAGTTTTTTTTTTAATGGTAGAATATGTAACTAAACCGCTGTTTATAGTATGGCCATACGACTAGAGGCGGGCGATTATGAGATATACTAACGAAATCATTCGATTATGAAAAGGTCTCGAGGTATTTCGATTATAGCGCTTAGTAGTTACTAATATGTACTGGACGATTATGAGATATACTAATGAAATCATTTGAATTAAATGTTAGTAATTACTAATACCAGTAAGAAGAGGTGGGTCGATTATGAGATACACTAATGAAATTATTCGAATGAAATGTTAGTAGTTACTAATACTAATAAGAAGAGGTGGGTTGATTATGAGATATACTAATGAAATCATTCGATTATGAAATGTTAGTAGTTACAATAGAGAAGGATAATTAGTAGTTACTAATACTTCTAAGTTAGGACAACGCACTCTTCTCGTTCGCTTTCACGTTTAGTATAATGTCGGATGTGACCCTTTTATTATTTTTTTATTACGAGCATATTCTATTGGAAGATGGTAGAATAACAAAAAACTAGAGGAATATTTAATATTTGTTGATATATTTCGCGGCAATTTCAAAGCAGTTAAAATAAAACTGAATATTAAAATATTTTGAGATTAAATAAATGATTCATAGGTTATTTAAATATTTGTTTAGAATTTAAAAAAATACTAAATTGTCAAGTTATACATGAATGAAATGAACATTTATTTATTAAAAGGATAATTAAACCTAAAAGCCATATTGACACTTTTAGACAGAATTAAAAGAGTCGGTAAACTTACTTTTAAATATGATAAATCCACTAAAAGGTGAAAAGCGCCACGTCTCTCAATATCGTAGTAAACAAAACAAACTACACAAGTATATAAAAGTATCTACTATTGTTTAAACAATTAAAGTCAAGGAGTGTACGATTAGTATTACTAATTGGTAACATCATTCGATTATGAAAACAAATTAGTTACTAATCCTATAATCGATTACCAACATTAGTAATACAAAATAAATCGATTATGCCGATCATTCATAATCGCCTACCTCTGCAATGACTTTTTTTCTTCTTAGTTTAATGGTTTTACCATCATATACACAGTTTGTCATTTGAAATCGGTTGTCAATGTCAGACGTCAACACTAGGAGTAACATCACTGTCATCATATAGGTACATATCCACTCTAATGTTATTATCAAAAAACAGCGATTTAGTATCAACACAGAACACACATAACAATTAATTATAATCTTTTATTACGTCGCAAGCATTTTGTTCTATTTTTGCCGGTAATATTAGATAAATGAATAAATCATAAATGTCGAATATATGTAACAGTTCCAGCTTGTGAAAATGTGGGTTAAACCTCAAGAAGTGTTTCAGAGCGCATTATGGTAAGGTTTCGGATTATGGAGCTATCGTACATTACAATGGCTATAAGATTTACATGTCATGTATTAATCATGTCGCAGGGACTGTGACGAAACTACTTTATATTTCGTTCTGCAAAGGCGAAAAGGACATGGCAAATCTAAAGGTTTATCTTCTATAATTGTGGGTACCCTGGACAGTGTGAGGGATACAAAACCAGCACCCTTCAGAATACTACATCAGACACCCAATTCAGAAATTTATTATGGTAATTAAATGTACTTTTTATGAACACCTTTCCTCGTTTCTTATAGATAATTATTTATTTACATTCATTTGGTGGATAATTGTACTGGTATTTCTAGTTATCGCAACCGCATTAACTGAGCATGAAATACGAGAAGACTGGAATTGGCTCTTCAAGAATGTGAGTCCAACTTTGCATTCATTTGATAGCGAGGAAGAAGTAACAGAGTTTGTGTGTTGTAAAATAAATTCTATCATTGCTACAGGCCAGGAAAGCATAACTGAGGGTATGGCAGTCCTTTATTTAAAAGTTTTTCAATTGCAAGAAGTAATATATGAAGAAGTATAATATGTTGTATTTGTTTGTAGATGAAGACACAGTTAATTACAAAAATGTGGATTATGACTTCCATCAAAGATTCAATATGCCGAAGGATGAAAAGCTTGTTTGTTATTACTCCTGCAGGTAAGTTGAATTGGCAAAAATTTTAATATTATATTGAACCTAAACTTAAATTTATTATGTTTATTAAGTAATCTATACATAAAATAGTTTCTCCTAACTATTGTTTGTAATTTAAGCGAGTACATTACAAAATAAAGTAAAACAATTTTAACAGTTTAAAACACGAAATATATTAGTTAACTTATGTAAAATTTTACTGTGACAGAACTTTCATGTTGTTATCAATTCTAAGACAAACCTCTGCTTATTTTACAAGTATATTTTACGTAACACATACACATACATAGATGAGTCGCATGTTTTATATATAATAAAATCAATGCCTACATATCTCAATAGATCAACGCGTTACCTAACATTTCGTTGAGCGTGAAAGATTCCGGGTTCTAATCCCAGACAAACTGGCTGTTGTTAGTTGGTAGACCAGGGAAGCCTAATCAACTACTTGTCTGTAAATATAAGGTATCAGTAAAACGCACTCAGAATTTTTTTCGTCCCATGCCCCAGGGGAGAAATATATTCCACTCACATCAAAATAAACCTCTAAAATATGTTATTCTTTTAGAAGACTTTTCACGACTACATTGTGTTTTATTTTAAAATTTAATGATTTTTTTTTCTTATTTACGATATTTTATCCACGATATATTACGCTTCTTAACTTGAAGTATTGTACGGTATTCTGTTGTTGCTTAACCAATAATAGAGCTCTTCAGTGCATTAATATGTGAAAATTATAATAATTTCAAACATGCAATCCTTTTTCAGCTACTGGAAGGGTAAAATGCCAAGACAAGGCTGGCTCTACCTATCAGTTCATTATATGTGCTTCTATTCATATATCTTTGGGCGAAACACAACATTAAAAATAAGATGGGCTGATGTGACCGAACTAGCGAAGACTAACAGTCTCCTTTTTCCCGATTCTATCAAAGTTGTGACAAGGGACGGAGAACACTACTTCACGATGCTGCTGAAGAAGAACGAAACGTTTGCTCTTATGCAGCAATTGGCGAATATAGCTATGAAACAGTAAGTGTGAAAAAAACAAATTAAGGCGTTTGAAAAATGTATTATATTTTACATGATGGCACTATATATATGAAAAATCGATTATTAATTGAAAAGCAAGGTCAATAAGTTGAATAAAAACGATAATGTCGTGTAGGACTTGGTAGCTCAATTGGTTATAGCAACAGCACGGAACGCTGTGGATGCCGATGTATGTCCTGCCCTAGTCGTAAATTTTTTCAAACACTTTAACGGTTAAAACGCGATATATTAGTTAAACTTATTTGAAAATATTTTTCATTTGACTTTCGGATGTTGCAGCAGCCGTGGTCACGAGAAGACACCGTTACTTTACGTAATCTATAACCGATTTTTCTTTTAATTTATAATCGATTTTTATTAGTAAATAAGGTAACTTGTGTTATTCGTGGTCTTAAAAATCTGAAATTGTTATTTTTCATATCTAGAATTTAGCTTAATTTTTTTAATGTCTCTCTTTTAAGACTAATTGATGACAAATCGGGCACCTTCAATACAGATAAAGAGCTGCTAACTAAACTCAGTAAGAATGTTCCTAAGAAACCGTCCTTCCTTAAACGGGATTTAGACGCGAAGAAGCAGTCAAATCTATACACGTTGCGCTTTCGGTTACCGCACGCAGAGAAGTTGGATGGTACAGAGGAATGTACCCTCTGGACTCCGTACAATAAAAGACACAATTGGGGGAGGATGTACTTGTCGCAGAATTTCATTTGTTTTGATAGTCGGGTTATGTATGTTTTCTAACCAATTTAAAGAACCAACGTGCGATCGGATGCGCATGCGCACTGTTTCCTATGAAAGCAAATAATCAAGTCTAGTGTATGCGCATGTTAAACAGTTAAGTTAAACAATAAAGTACATGATTAAATAAAATGCTTTAACAGATATACAGACTTACATTCTCCCCGCTATTGCAAAGCTTTCAAAAAGTCGGATTGTAATTAAAATAATTTCTAAATAAGTTAAACTAATATATTTGTTAAAATGATTATTTAAATGTAAATGCACGTTCTTCGGAGATGAGTATTTTGTGTTAATATTAGAGGCATAGAAGATTTGGTGGAATGCAACTAGTGTTTTCCCCGTTTCCTTGAATTGAGGTATGGGGCAGATACATTTCTTTGTGTCCTTTCATTGATCGATTTTATTTACCGGCAATTACTTAATATGTGTCTTGTTTACCAATTTATTTTTGTAGGTTGTAGTTAGTTATTTTCATAATTAGTATCGCATCAAGATAGTAACGAATACACGATAAATAAAAAAAAATGGTATTATTTTTATTTGACCCTCAATTTTCCAGGTTTCTAATTTGGTCCGTTTAATAATACCACTCCGGAATGTATATCAAGTGGAGAAAGCTGATTCCGGTGCCACAAGTAGTTCTTGGGGAGTCTGGAAGTATACTTATAACTACGTCATACCACACCAGCTTCCTGTTTGGAAATATATCGGATAGAGAATTCCTCGTTCACAAGATATCCGAACTTCTAGCAAAACTGCCTAAGTTAGTATATTTGTACCAGTTTTATGAGATAAAGTTGTTAATTATTGTTATGGTAATGTGCTTAACAACATAATTTAATAAATATTGCCTATTGTCCTCTTATGAGAGAGACGGTAAGCATATTTTTTGGAAACCAAAACCGGTTTTAAAAAAAAAAAAAAAAAAAACCCCCCCCCCCAAAACCCCCCCCCCCCCCCCCCCCCCCCCCCCCCCCCCCCCCCCCCCCCCCCCCCCCCCCCCCCCCCCCCCCCCCCCCCCCCCCCCCCCCCCCCCCCCCCCCCCCCCCCCCCCCCCCCCCCCCCCCCCCCCCCCCCCCCCCCCCCCCCCCCCCCCCCCCCCTTTAAAAAAAAAAAAAACCCCCCCCCCCCCCCCCCCCCCCCCCCCCCCCCCCCCCCCCCCCCCCCCCCCCCCCCCCCCCCCCCCCCCCCCCCCCCCCCCCCCCCCCCCCCCCCCCCCCCCCCCCCCCCCCCCCCCCCCCCCCCCCCCCCCCCCCCCCCCCCCCCCCCCCCCCCCCCCCCCCCCCCCCCCCCCCCCCCCCCCCCCCCCCCCCCCCCCCCCCCCCCCCCCCCCCCCCCCCCCCCCCCCCCCCCCCCCCCCCCCCCCCCCCCCCCCCCCCCCCCCCCCCCCCCCCCCCCCCCCCCCCCCCCCCCCCCCCCCCCCCCCCCCCCCCCCAATATATTTAACAACCAACAAAGGCCAACAGTCAACTTAAAACTTACTAGTTTGGGCATTAGTTAGACATTATTATGGCTTTGTATAAGTTGAAAATTATAAAAAAGTAAGTTAATTTTGGCCTAAATTATTAGGAAGTTTATATGATTTGTTTTTGGTCTGCCTGAAAGTTTAACCAAATATTCTACTAACATGCATCTTTAACATTTTATATAATATTGGTAGATAAGGCTTTATGTCAAAATTATACAGAGCGCCTAGCAGTAAACGATTGAATGCTTTAATTTTAAATTGAGCTTAATGCTTGCTTAGATGTCTAATAGCTTAATTATACTTTAATTTCAGGATCTTTACTTATTACTAACATTCTTAAGTTTTGTTTTTTTATATGTCTTACCAACCTTTTCCAATTTCGTACGAGAGTTGTTCTTGGACTAAACGCCTTTATCAGTTTTCTTGAAGTTGTGTTAGGCCTCTCTTATCCCTATTTAAAATTTGCGAATGACAGTGATATGTACAGGGAGAAAAGCGGGAAAGCTGTAGCCAGCAGTAGGGGGGAGGAAAGGGAGTGGACACCGCAGCCGCCTCTTATGACCTTGTTCAAGACTCACCAGACCGCCAGCATCAAACAGATACAGCAGAAAAAGGTAAGACATGACTTTATTAACAAAACAATATGTGAATTAAAAATCGAATTATATTAAAAAAAACTGGGGCAGGGATTGAGCAGGCATCCACAGTGTACAGTGCTGTTGCTCTATCCAATTTTGTTACCGTGTCCTACACGTCATGGTCGATTTTTTTAGCCTGTTGATAGGTGTACGTCTCGCGCAATGTAATTTCAACCTTAACATTTGCGTATTACGGTTCAATGTCTTATGATTAGCAGCTACAAAACATTGAAGTTATAATTACTGAGTTAAATTGGCTAACAAATTGATGAACCAAAAAATGCTCTTGGTTGCACTTTTATGATCACCCTTTTTATATTTATATAAATTTCTTGCAATTACAATTTTTCATTAAAATAAAACACTTTAACAATTTAAAACGCGATATATATACAACTTATTTGAACTAAGACTAAGTTTAGTCTCCCTGCGACCACGGCTGATGCAAAGCATCCGAAACGTCGGGCTGTAGGTAAAAGTAGCTCAAATAAGTTTAACTAATGTTTATAATAACAATGTATAATGTATATTTAAATTTATTTAAATCTACTCCCGTAAACTAAAGACAGTATTTACACATTTGTATTTAAATTATTATCAAGTTTAGTTACTCGGTAAAAAGAGAGAAATAAACTCTAATACTTAAACAAATCAAGAATCAAAATCGATTATATTTTGCAGGAAAAACAATGGGAAGATCACATGGCCGAAGTGGGTCGAGGTGTGAGTATGTACCGAACAACCGAAGGCAGTGAATTGGTTGTCAAAGGCATACCGGAGTCTCTGCGAGGGGAACTGTGGAGTGTATTCTCAGGATCTATTCTACAAAAGGTGCAAAGCAAAGGTCTATACGAAAGGCTCGTTAAAGAGGCTTTGTCATCCAAGAATCAAGCTAATGACGAGATTGAGAGAGACCTGCATAGGTCGCTACCGGAACATCCCGCGTTTCAGAACGATGTTGGTGAGTATTCAAATGAGCTATAAAGAAAAGAATCCAAGTTGAAATAAGTCAAGTATTAACTTTGTGTGAAAAAAGTTAGCAATGAATTCTTATAATGGGCATATTGTGATAATTTTATCATATTTTAAATAAAACACTTTAACGGTTTAAAACGCGATATATATTAGTTAAAAGTATTTGAATTATTTTAACAACAACCCGACGTTTTTGGATGCTTAGCAGCAGCCGTGGTCACGGGGAGGCTAAAGATGGAGTGTGTCTCTGACGTCAAAGTAAAAAAAATCTGCTACGTTAATTGATAATTTATTTTAATATTTTTATCCCAATATATTTTTCAGTGTAGAACCATGTTTCTACAATACTTTTAAACATTTGTACCGTTAAATTGTGTGCTAATTTCGTGAACTACAGACAATACCATAATTTCAGAGTAGATTCCTTCCAGTAAAGAAATCTCTTTTTACTCCATCGAAAAAAAAGATGAGCTATCTATATACATTAATACACACCAATAAATTTAAATGTACTAATTAAACTTTTAAAGGAATATCGGCTCTACGTCGCGTTCTATGCGCGTACGCACTGAAGAACCCCACAATCGGATACTGCCAGGCAATGAACATCGTGGCTTCGGTGCTGCTTATTTACTGCCCAGAAGAGCAAGCGTTTTGGCTGTTAGCTACTATTTGCGAGACCTTACTACCTGACTATTATAATACGCGGGTAGTCGGTGCTTTAGTAAGTAAATGAAAAACTATCTGAGGCCTTTTATTTCTAAGTATATACCTTTTGATTGGTTCTTTGGTCTAATGGTAGCATTGTATAGCTAGTAATCAATTCTACGACCAATTGATAGACCCAGTTAACTTTTTCTAATCAATTATAAATTTTCTGCAACATGTTGCATTTAGTTTGGCGTCACGAGCTATCGTCCATAGATAAAAAGCCATCAAGTTTAATCGCGTTTTGATTTCAATCTGTATTTCCGAATATCCAAAACAGGTCGATATCCCCACCTGCTTAGTTCTATATGACTGTGGTGTTTCACCTTCTCTCTTAACTCCATGCTTTTCATCATTTATCATAAAAAATAAAGGTAATTTTGTACAGGTCGATCAAGGTGTTCTAGAAGAATTAACGAAGTCCCAGCTGCCAGACCTCCACGCGAAGTTGGATGAACTGGGAATGATGAAAATGATCTCGCTGTCCTGGTTCCTTACGCTGTTTATCAGTGTGATGCCTTACGAGAGCGCTGTCAATGTTATGGATTGCTTTTTCTATGATGGCGCTAAAGTTATATTTCAGGTGAGAAGTATATATTTAAGTTATTTTAAACAATCGTTCTATTTGGTTTATGTAAATTGTTTTAATTTAATTTTTAATTTAACGGAAAAAGTCGAATACCTCGTTGATCGTGCTAAAACATATTATACGGTATGGCAAAGACTCTTGGTTTCACGCAGTTAGAAGAAACACAATACAAATACTTAATTCTTTATTGTTACAAAACAAGAAACAGAACATAACATAAAGTAACATTTATTAAAGTAAGGATAAACAGTGGCCCTATAGCTAAAAGGTTTTCGTAGAAGAGAGTAAGAAATGTGTTTAATACCAATAAACCACAAAAAAAGACTTCTTACTTAATATAAAAATAAAACATAATTTAATCTTAACAATATAAATAAATGTTGTGTGCTCCTAGTTAATAGAATAGGATTTTATTCAGCTTATATCAGGTCCTTTGTTGACTTGAAACTGATTTTCAGTATTTAATTCTTACAATATTATCAATTAACATTAATAAAAACAAAAGGCTTTTTAGGTAACTTTAACAATATTGGATGTGAACAAAGACAAACTCCTCAAATGCACAGAAGATGGTCAGGCGATGCAGATTTTGAGTGAATACTTGGAAGGTATCTCCAACGAAGAAGCAATGGCCCTGTCTACGGAACCGCGCACCGCTAAGAAGGTAAGCATGGAACAAGTGTTGTAGGTTGAAAAATGGAAAGAAGATAGAACCGGACCCGAATCCACAACCATTGTATAGTTTACTAATACTACACCTCTGGTAAAATTTAAATTCAACCATAACGCGGCGGTGTCTTCCCGTTTTTGTTAAGTTAGTTAATCCTGCAAAGACCCGGCCAGTTCCAAAAGCAACTACGACAGAACACTTGGCGCTAGCGTTGCAGTTTTTACTTTTACATTAGAGACACCCTCCATCTTTAGTCTTTCCGTGACCACGGCCGCTACATAAGTAATAAGTAAGTTTAACTAACATATTTCGGGTTTTAAACTGTTAAAATGTTTTATTTAAATGCGTTTTACTCGCTGAAACTTCAGTTTTCATATTCCAGACAATAAAGATCCAAGACCTGGTCTACCAATCGTATCGGATGTACGGCGCTAACGTGAGCAGCGAGTGCATTGAGCATTTGCGCTTGAAGCACAGATTACGTGTCGTTCGCCAACTGGAAGACAGCTTAGAGAAGAACACGTTGCGAGCGTTGCAACAGGACAGACTCCTCGAGCCCAATGAGTTGCAAGTAGGTGACTTCGTCCCCGAAGAATTGTTCTTTTGGGCATCCAAATTTGTATTTGCAAACTTCCTCTTCATCTTTATAAATTTAAGCTGTTACGTTACCCACGACATCGGTCGCGTCCCATCGATTGCGAACCGTCGGTCGGGTCCCATCGTTCTTGCAAGTTAATCTTAAAAGATAGACATATAGTGTGGCGAACATATTTTAGATCATTTAAAGAGGTATCATTCTTTTATACATATTTTTTGGGGTTTTTTTTTTCACATTTCCATTCAATTTTTCAGCGTAATCATCGGAAACACAGAGATTAATATTTCCCCCTTTTTTTTCACATTTCCCGCTGTTTCTTCGCTCGTATTAGTCACAGCGCGATGTATATACATCGAGCTCAGTTAAAGGAACTTTTATAGGCTATATAGCCTATAGCCTTCCTCGATACCAACACAAATAAGATTTTTTTTCTAATCGAACCAGTATTCCTGAGATTAGCACGTTCAAACAAACTCTTCAGCTTTATATATTAGTATGGATATATGTAGTAGTTTTTTTTTATTAATATAAGGACTTGGAAAATTAATTTGACAGTTTAAGTACCGATTTTTTTATATTTATCTGAGTTCATTTTGCCATTTTTCTAGGAATTACTGAGCATTATCCGTGAAGAATTATTCTGGGCGAAGCGTGTGCCGTCTGAGCGGTTAGAGGCACCGTACGAGGCGTACAGGCTCGACTACGGACAATTCAAGACGATATACACGGCTTTATCTCCGTGGGCTAAGGGCGATTATGCTGAAGCAATTACAGCGAGGATATTTAAAGTGAGAGAATACTTGAAAACATATTATTTCACATATATTAATAAAAAAACTTACATAGATTGAAACGTTACACTCTGTTATTTCATCTTTATTAATTGAAATTACATTGCACGTAGTAATGTGTATATATCAATGGGTTATAGCAGAACGGAACGCTGAAACTGTCGGTTCAAGTCCCGAATTCTTTTTAATCGTCGACTTAGTCTTTATAATGTAACTCTATTTTGTATTGTCATTCACTTTAACAAGCTTTATAATAATGCTTAATACTTACTACAACGCCAATATGAAAATTGTTACATAAACTTATTAAGAAGTATTGCCATCTTTTTTTTATTTCCCCCCAAAGTGACAATTATAAACTACTCCTTTTTCTCTATTCAAATGCTTAGCGAGAAAAAGTAATAGTATTGATCTAAAGGCGAAATCGTTATTCCAGTTAATGGATCATGATGACGATGGGCTGGTCAGTGCGCGCGGTCTCAGCGTCGGCATAGGTCTAAGCACCCGTGGCGACGCTCAGATGAGGTTGCGCGCGTTATACTGTGCGCACGCGCCGCCGCTTCTATCACCTCTCGAATTGAGACCGACGCACTTCACCGAAACGGGAGAGGAACTAGCTACTGACGCTATATCATTTTTTGACAGGTAGTGTATTTTTTCTAACTTGGCATTTTTGGTAAACAAACCTACAATTTATTTTTCTCTGACAAGGTTTACACTAAAAAACCTTTGAGATTAGGATTATATATTATACTCATAAAAAACCTAATTCACTTAATTAAAAACACGATTTAATAAATTTAGTACCGCCCTAAGTTTTAAGAGTTACAATTTTTGGTGTTTTTTTTAAATACTTTTTTGACAGAATGTAAAAAAACCGTTTAATCTCGAGTTTTAAACCAATTACTATTCAAAAGTTTACGTTTTGTTTTTGATCGTGTTGCAGCATAGAGCCTGCATCGTCGCCAGATCCCAGCCTTCAGCGATCAATCAGTGAAGTGTGCAGCGAAGGAAACCAAATGGACAAGTCTACTGATAGCGCGTATAGTCAGGCTGGTAAGTCTTAGATAAGAAGGCGAATTAATAAAAATATTGTTATGTTTGAAAACAACGATATTTTTCAAATGTTTATATAAATTAATAACATTAGCAGGACGTCTAGGACACGGTAGCGCAATTGGTTAGAGCCCGCCCGTGTCCTTTTTTGTAAAATCTAAAATCGTTTGTTATTTTATTTTTATGTTATTTGGTTGTCGTTTTTACTACAAATACAGTTATGTCTTCGGTATTAAAATAAATGTATAAATTATTTCAATTATTATTATTTTCTCAATTAAAAAGGAATTAAAATAATCAATATTTTATCTTATTCATCGCAATACTAGCTCTAGTATACATATTTAATATACATTGATCTTGACGAGTTCTACTCATTACAGAATCGTCTCAGGCGGTTGACAGCGTCCGCGCATGCGCCCTCCTGGGTTTACCGTCGCCAGGTGCTTCGACCCCTGGAACTCCGCCCCCTCCTCGCACCGCCCCAGCTTTACCTCGTCCGCACTTTTTGCTCTTACTCGCCGCTCTACATGATCTTACACAACATTCGACACCGCTCTACGAGGCTGTCGCTCGAGCAGGTATATATAAAATTGTATTAATAGTTTAAGAGTGGCAAATATTAAATGGAACACTAATAAATGGTTCAAGATGCGATATAAATAAAAAAAATACAGTGAACAACATATTAACTTTAATATTGTTGGGTAGTGTAGGCTTTGAATGGATTTTTACATATTTTAAATTTGGTGCCTTTCTTCACAGAGACTTATTAATTACTAATACACTGTATATCTAGTTATTTTTTACTACTAAGGCAACATCGAGAAATAATAAATAGTTATTATAATCTTTACATAAGTGTCTCTAGTTGATATGTGTTAAACATGGCAACATTTTATATATTTTTTAAACTACTAAACCGATTTCACAGTTTATCTTTTGCCTCATCTATTTATAAAATACTTTTAATTCACACATATATAATATATTGTAACTGATAACTTTTGTTGCCACTGTTTCAGGTACTGTACTTCTTCAACTTGGTGAATTGAGGCACAGACCGAACTTGGGCCGAGAAATATCTCAAGACAGCTTATATCTAGCCGCCGCTGCGCAGCCGTCCGCTATAGAGGTATATTTTTAAACGTCTGTGTGTATTTATATAAAATATAGAAATTTAAACCTCAGATACGGAGATTGATGTAAAATCCTACATGTAAAATGTATATACGTAGTTCGTTGGTGGTATTGTATCGCTCATCTAATCCACACCTTAGTTACGAGTACCAACACATTTTTCTTATATGCAACAACGATTAAATGGATTTGCTCACTAATATCTTTCAATTTTTTTTTTATAAACGCGCTCACTATTTTCCAGGCTCGCAATACATTCGCGTAAAATACTATAATTTTATTATTTATAACTTAAAATCGATTACAGTTTGAAAAAATGTACATATGACAGGATAGGACTAAAAGTGGCATCCACAGCATCACCTTTTTCCATCTATAATTCCATAATAATTTTTATATTCTATAATGCACATCATGTGCTTAACGCGTGTAAAAAATTAATGTTTTCAAATATAAAACTTGTTTTAAGGCAACATTTTAAAGATGTCATTTTAATTCTTCAGTTGGACCCGAACGGCAATACAACGGAACAGGAACCAGGCCGTCCACAGCCCTCGCCATCTAGGGACAGCGATCGAGATCCAACAGACGACTGGTCTATCACCCTAGAGCAGTTCCTAGCGACGATGCTGACTGAGGCTACCCTAGAAGAGTTCTTCAACAAGCAAGTGTCCATTTTGCCCCAGCTGGAGGCACTAAGACAGCGTGACCGTCTGCATTCTGTCTCGTAAGACTAGTCTGTTAAATCCTTGCCTTAGTCACTGTAATATAAATTAATTTTCGAGACCGTTTTGTAAATCTTCTTGGGTTTTCGACCTGTTCGACCGGCGTGTTCGAGAAATAGTTCTCGACGTTTACATTTTACAATCATATATTCTTTTAAATTTTCTCGACCATTCCGTAATGCTTGGGGTTTCGACCGTTTAGTCATGACATCGTAATTGAGGTTGAACATGGTTTTTCGAGTCACCATCACGAGTGGATAACATCATCAGGGGTCGGAAGGTGACCTCGATAAAGCAAAGATGGAATGGCGTGATGGTGAAACGTCAAGAAAAATGATGGCTTTAATAATCCTTCTAGCAAGTGTGTGTTAATACCTAATGTTAATATCTGTATAAAATGCCTTATTTGGTGTAGATTGTAGATAATTGCTACTGAGACATTTAACGTACATTCCAAGACTAGAATTAAGTTATATTTAGTGCATGCTTTGCAATTAACATTTTACTACAAAATATTTGCCATATTAGGTTTTACTTACACCCCCCTTCCTTCTTTCTACCCGCCCGCGACGATCCATCGTCCACAGGTGTAAACGCCGCGACGTTTAACCGCGTTTTAGGTCGACAGCAGCAGACAGCATGTTGTTTGAATATTATATGTTCCTCTATTATAAAAAAAGTAAATTTGTAGTAAAAAAATATTTCACTATAAAAAATTGCAGTGGGTTGCTGTGTTATCCTTATGTAAAATAATTATTGTGCAAAACATAATTTCTAGTTCCGCAATGAATTCACAGTTGTAAAGGTATAAGAAATAATTAAAAATATATATTATTATGATTATGAACATTAATGTTAAGCATTGTATGTAGTTTACGCGAATAATACACATTTAAATAAATCACTTTTAACGGTTTATAACACGAAATATATTATTTAACTGATGTTTTATTGATCGTTTAACCTACAGGACAATTAATCAAATGTTTGCTTTGCTGCAGTCGTGATAACGGCTATATTACGCGTTTTAAAGCGTTAAGTGTTGTATTAAATACGTTAATGTTGGTACCTGAAAACTGTAATCGTCGCTGAGCTTTCCAATATAGGAGAAAATATATTTTTCTTCAATTCCATAGATTGAACAAAAATATAGGCTTTATTGATATAGTATGGTGCTTCGTTAGTACGCTTTGGAATTAATATAAAGCAATAAATTTAAAAAGCTAGGATTTTGTAGCATATATTTTTATATTATTTGACATATGGCTTGTGAATATATAGCAAAAAAAATATTTAATTTAAAAGACTAAGACCTGTTCTTAGTGTACAAGTGAAAAATAAATTTGAAAAGTTTAGTTAGTGTTAACCTCTGCTGTACTCGTTAATTTAACGGCCGTGGGTTCGATTAACACCGGGTCCAACGTGATTATAAAACCCGTTTATATTTTGCAACTTGTTGGACTTCATTTGGAAGTCTGGATATTAAATGAGTGATGGGAATGTAGAAATACCGCTCAGGTTTCTAAACATCGTCCACAGACAGGCCGGTGAGCCGACAGCACATCTTATTTACATGTTGGTTTGTATCACCATCCATCAAATGAACTATGCTCGTCTGTTTTCCTATGAGTTGGCTTTTTCAAAGAAAAAATAAATATTTTTTTTTAGGTAGTGTTTATATCCCAAATTTATCTCTCCTGTAATCTATGTATATTTTTTGTATAGTGTTGCTTAATTCGTTATTTTAATATGTATATAACCTATCGGCCATATACTTAGAGTTATGAGCACTGTAAGCCTGATTATGAATAAAATTGTTTATCAACCAACAAGATTTTTTTTTCGTTTAATTAGCAAGACCTGTTCCCCTTCAGTTAGATATACGAACTCACTCTAATATTATATGCTTACATATATATTTCTAACCGTGTTAAATTTCTGAAATTAACCGCCTCCAAGGCTCAAAGTCCAGGATGAGTTTCACCAACTAAGTTACTCTTAACTAATAGAAGCTATCCTGCTGTCGTGATTACATTTAGTTCTGTTGTGGCCCAAAATTGAGATTTTTATAAGAATAAAATAAAACGTTAAGATTTAAAATCATATATTTGTTGCAACAGTCATTAGTACGGGACGTCAATTGACAGCGAAACGAAGTGTGAAGTTAGCGCGCTTCGACAGAGTCTAACCTACTTCAGTGCAGTGTCTGAGTAGTGGCGGGAAACCGAGGCCTTTCAAACCTAACTACCGGGCGGATAACAAATCTCTAGGTACTGTCTTACGTTTCGTTGTAAAGTTAGTTATTTGATATAACATAATAATTTAAATGACGGTTTAGAATACAGTCTGTGTGTACATCGTTACAAAATGGATAAAAGGGAACATTATCTACATATATCTATGTATAGCTAAACTTCAAAGACCATCCAACGTTAGACTTTACTGTATTCTTGCTTGGTAGCTGAATGTATGCCACACCACTGTTGATCTTCCACTGAAAGAAGTTAATTATAATTCAAACGAACTAAATAAAACGCTTATTTTAAACTGATAAAAATAAACATTATTTTTAAATTATAGAGTAAGTATAAGATTTACTCAAGTAGTTCTTGTTAACAATCTACTTACATTCAATGTCCCATCACTCCCCAGCAAGGTGACTTGTAGAGTGCCTCTATGCAGATAAGTGGCTATATCCTTAACCTTGAGTATATTATCGCCAGGCCAAGTGAAAAATGTAGCATATATAGCTACAACAGTATCTGATCTCGGAACCCTTGGTGGGATTAACCCCATCATATTCGCTTTTAGTACAAGTGTACCACGCGTCACTGTTCAAGCTGTCGTTTTGGTGTTTCCAGGGAGACGTTTCATAAATGGCTTCACCATTAATTTGAAGCCATTCACCAAGAGCTAAGAGCCTCTCTTGGAATATTGGGGCGATGGTGCCTTCTTTAGTAGGGCCTACGTTTATTAAAGCGTTGCCTAGAAAGAATGGTTACAATATCTTATGTAGAATAGTAGAAACAATTAACCTTTTTGGACAAGCGAGGTACAAGTCTGAATAACAAAATCAATCAGTGACGAAAGATCAACGAACACAAGTGATTTTAATTTTTTTTATCAGTATTCAAGTTGGTCCATTAACTTTTGTTTATCTAGGGCCATATAATATAAAATAGTTACTACCTCCACAACTAACAGTCGACACAACTTCCTTCAGTAGCTGCTCTATAGTAAGAATTTCAGATAAATTCATGTTGCGCCTGTAGCCCCACGATTTTGAGTCCACTGTGAATGCATTCTCCCACTTATGGGCTTGAAGAGTACCTGTAAAATGACGATGTTAATTAAACAACATTAGTGTATTATTTAATAAAAAGTTATAGAAAAATGAAATACCTGGATTATATCTATCGGCACAATTATAAAAATCACCATGATGACAAGGTATACCTATACCCCATCTGTCATTCACTACAATTTCATCCTTCACTGGACTATCATTGTACAGCCATGCGAGCAAGTCTGTGGAATTCCAGTAGGCATCTAACGCTTCCCAGTCCCCATCAGACCACAGAACGGATGGTTGGTAATCATTGATAAGCTGTTTGATATCAGGCCAAAGCTTAGTGGTTGGATAATTCTTGGACAGGAACAATGATTTTTTATCTTCCAAATAAATTGGGTTGTACCATTCATATAAAGAGTGGTATACACCAAATTTCATCCCCTGCTTCCTTACTGCCTCAGCCACATCTCCGACTAAGTCTCGCTTAGGCCCTACATCAACAGAGTTCCAACTGAAGGATCGCTTTGATGGAAAAAGTGTGTAACCTTCATGATGTTTACTCGTTAGGACAATATATCTGTAGACATACAAACAATTAAATAATCTGTATCTAGTAAAATTTAAATAAATTATTATTATATGCAGTATATTACTTAGCTCCCGCCTTCTTAAACAAGTCTGCCCAAGCATTTGGATCAAAGAATTCAGCTTTGAACATAGGAGCAAATTCTTGATATGTAAAACCAGGTGGATAGTTTTGGTTCATAAAATCTATATACTTCTGGTTGCCTCCTGTAAGTACAATATATTGTAGGTACAGATAACACAAGCATATTAATAAAAACTGTGAGAACTACTTTGTATTTTAACTCATTCCAAATTATCCTAATTTTCACAGCCTAGCTACTGTCAATATTTAAATTAAACTTATGATCTTTCTGCCCAGCTTTTGAAAAAAATTGATACATAAAAAATATACTAATAAAATGCGAGCTAAATAACAGTAGTAATTAAACACACACAAACAAATACTATTTTCTTTGGACGCACTTAAAAAATAATTTGGTTTTAACTTATAGCGCTATGGTTTAGTACTTACCAACCCAATTGCTCCAGAACCACTCAGACCCAAAACTTGGAACAGAGAACACTCCCCAGTGGAGGAATATTCCAATCTTAGCTCTATCATACCATTCTGGCAAAGGACGAGTGTCGAGGTCTTTCCAAGAAGGCGAATACCGTGTCGGTCTTGACTCAAAATGTTCTATTACATTTAATTTATTATTACTCTCACTTATTGAAGCTTTAGAAATTCCACATGCTAAACCTAAGCAAGAGATCCATAACGTTAAAGCCGCCATCCTGTAATAAGTTTTTTTTTTAAATACAAAACAGCTGATTCCTTCGTTACACGAACGTTCGTATTAAAACTGTTTACATTTTTTGCCGCGCCCGGCCTAAAATAATGTCAATGCTTTTTCTTTGACAATTTAAAATGAATTCTAAAGATGATATTTATTTTACAATTGTTCTGTCCTCTATTATAAAAAAAGAAAGGAACATTTAGGTCTTTACCCTTTAAAAACTACTGGTCACAACCCAACTAAACCCACTTTTCCTAGATGGCACTACAGCCAGTATACGCTTAGCGATAAATAATGAACGTTTTATTATAATTGATCACAATTGTTTAGTTAATTAAAATATCTTCTATAATCACCAATTAAAACATTAAACTCACCTCACCGCTTTTGGTTCTACACTGTTTTATTGCTCAAGCGTGCTACTATTATATCGCTATAAAAATATTTCAAACAACAAACTAGCCAATGATAAGAATTGTTTACGCAAAATTGCGGTCAATTATTTATGTACATGTGTGTATCTGAGTCTTATCGACTTTTATGAATGTGTAATTTTTGTTCTCTACATAAGATGTTTATAAAAAACTAAGATATGTTCATAAAACATTTTTTACAATAGGTACATAGAAATGGTTTTGCTTTAGTATTCATGTGATGAGAAATAAAAAAAGAAGAATTTTCTATATTTTTTTAAATAATTTAATATTTACAAAACCTTGCAATAAATAAATGTATCAACAGTTCAACTGAAAAGTTAATACTGCATATCTTCATATGTTGCAAAAACATTTTTTTTAAATAAAACTATTAAATATTTATGTAACTCCTCCATGGTTGCTAAAGTATCTAGCTACTTCTTTTACCAAATTTTTTAATTCTATGTACTCTTTTACAGCTAATATTTTCTCGATAATAGCTTTATCTATATTATAAACACATTAACGTTAGTCCGAGAACTATATTATCTATACAAACACATTCAGTGTCTCATAGTATATTCGTCAGGTTTATCCACTTCCACATTAGGAAGTGGCTGACAATGCTATGGATCGTCAACCTTGAATGTTGAAAAATGGCAAGCACCATTTATTATAATTTCATTTAATGTTGAAGTTGGCTGAGCCTCTGAAGTTGGCAATGCTTCATTATTATTAATCACAGGCACAGTATAGACCATCTTATCGTTACGCATGGGTTCAGCCTGGGTTATAGATGTTGTGAACACATTATTTGACTTTTGACTATAGTCAGTTAACATGTTCATCTTAACTTCAAATATAACATCTTGTATTCTCTTCTTAGCCAATAGTAGACTTCTTTCACATTTCAGTGACCTCAATTCGTTGGCAATATATTCTCCATATACAGTGAACTCGTCTCTCTTTTTAGGTGATGAATATTCTATATTGCCTTCTATGTTATCAGATCTGGCTATTTTTGGTGGTAGTGGTGATGTATTTTTTGATTCGCCTCTCGGCGTTTCGTCGTCATTCGGTGTGCCATTGCCGTAATATCCATCCTGTAGGAGTAAAGTTAATTAATGAAATGTTATATGAATACGCATTTTATAAATAAGTTGGTATAATTGATATCACTTACCGAGTTAACCAATCTGAAAGGCTTGTTAGAGTCCTTTAAAAAGTGTAAGTAGTCGTAAGCATACCAATTTACAACATAATTTTCATTTGGATTTTGCGCTCGCGCGATAGATTCGCGGGCCAGCTCCCTGTTGTATTGCGTGCGAAGATGTTGTATCTTTTTCGTAATATCAAACACTGATATTCGAAACACATTTGCAATAGATCGCAGCTCTTGTTTGCGTCTTTGTTTAGCCCTTCTTGTTTCACAATTCGTTGGATTCCACAATGTTGCGTTCACTTGAAGCAACCCGACTAGTTTCAACGTTTTCTCTCGGGACCATTCCATTGTTGTATTATTAGGGGAAAATTAAGGTAAATCAAATTTATTTAGCATTAAATCCTTAGATGCTCGATACTATAAACATAAACAATTTTAAGCGTTTGGCCGACTCGGCTTCCACAAGTTGACAACTGCATTTGACAATTGACTAACTACAGACTAAATTCACTGTATAATTCGTTAAGTTGTGTAACAGGAAATTAGTACATACTATTTTTTTTTTACATAAATTTTCAGGAGGTATGAAAAAGGTACCAAATAACTGCTACTACTTAGGCCAATCTGAGAAATGCACCCTCCATCCTGAATTTCACTTATTTACCGCTTTAAAGACGCATTTTACCGCGTTACTAAAATAATGGTAATGTAAATAATAAGCCCAAGTATTTTTTTAGGAAAAGGTATTTGAAAACTTTAATATTTTCATTTTAATGTTATTGCACAAGATGGCATTATTCAGTTTTAATAATAAATTGTATTTCATGAAACAAATCGTTTTTCAATAGTTATAATTCAATGTCAGGATGATCTTATATTGAAACAACAATGTCTATTTCATTCTCATTTATTTACAGTCTACAATATGTGAGAACTACCTATCACAATATAGAACAAGTGCTCTTTAAAATTATACAATATTTACACTATTTACAAAATTCATTGTCACTGTTAAAATGCATTACAAATGTATATACCAAAGTATAATGTGATACGACACACAGAAGGACTTTTAATCGAACTGTATGTCCAGAAATCTCTAAAACAATATATTAAAACAACACAATTATCAATTGCATTAGCAAACACAGACATACGCCTACAGATTCCTTCATATACATGCCCTTACTAGCCAAGACCACTACATTTTTGCAATTGTGGTCATGCCTAGTGACAACAGGGGAACATTTGATTCAATTCTCCTGAACGATAAAAGGTAGTAAGCAATTGCAATATTTAGCAACTACATAAGTATACAATGTTTCGGAATATCATACAACAAAAGTGGTCGCCATTCGTACGATTATTTAATTAATCATCTATAACTACATTCACTTATCACGAGAGGAACAAAAATTAGGTAATAACAATAAGGAACACAAAATTAGCGTTCTAGCTCTAGCGAATATATATTTCATGTTTATTTAAATACCTGAGGTTTGAAATTCGTTGACGTGCGGTAGAATATTGTGTAATAGTAATGTTTTGAATGAAACTCTAAGAAGTTAAAATTAACATAAATAACAATAACAAAATATAAACACAAGAGAAACAAGTCAATTGTCACTTTGGTTGCTTTGAATTAAGTTGGACTAAGTTATGGAAATGAATTTGTTTAAAAGAATATTGACAAAAATGATGTTTGAATTTAAAGAATAACGAAATATTTCACAATTCAAACTATTTGTGTTTCACGTTAAAACATTTTCAGGGCAGTTATACCAACATAATTCAAAGCAATTTTGTTTCAATATTTACAACAATAAAGAGCCAAAAACATAGAACATTGAGGATAATTCGAGATTCACTCGTGCGCATTGTTATGCCTGAACTAAGACTATGACTGGTTTAATAAATATAGCTATAATCGTCTTAGTAATGTCTCAATTCTTACTTTAAGTCGCCCTACAACAACTAAATAATGTGAAGGCAGTATAAAATTATAAACGTGTTATTCTATAAGTAGTATTTATCGCTATGTCAGTGACAGGTACAACCACCAGTCGGATCTTATCTTTAATAATTCAACAAATAATAGACAATCTATTTTTAACAATTGACAATAGCTCATCTATTCTATGTACAAAAGGTGGTCAAGATTGAGGTACAATAGGGGTTCCTACGTGCCAGACGTGATTAGAAAAATATCAGTGTTCCCGTCGACCGCCGCAGACAAAAGATCGCTTCCTCGAAAGCCTTCGTACATAACACTTTACAAGAATCGGTGTGAGCCACTCGAGATATCTCTCCATAGTCTACTATTTGAAACTTCACAGGCGCGCCTTCTAACGAGAACTAAATAAATACTAGCTACCTAAGTCTGTACACAGGGTCAGGTCAGCAATGTCTTCGACACAATTTGTACGCGTTATGCGGCAGGTGCGACGTTTACGTGACGTCGAGTGGTCGGCCCTCGCGCGCTCTGAAGAAGCCGTCTTGCGTCCGACACTCCCTGATGGTAACAGTTTGCAGGTTCACCGTTACGTCTGTGATGAAAATCTGGTCTGCAACGGGGGATCGAGCGCACCAGTAAGCCGACCCTCGTTTCGGCGCAGGGGGCGGGGGAGGTGCTGGGGTGACTGGGGGTTCACCCCATGAGTCCTCGTCTTCTTGTTGGGGGGTCGGAGGGGGTGGGCGCGCGCCTTTCGGTTCCGCGGGCGCGGTGGCAGTAGGTTGCGTGTCTGTTCGTCGCTCGCGTTCGGGAGGTGTGTGTGCGTCCGCTTCTTCCGGCGAGTGCGGGGCTCTTCTGGGACCAGTCCGCGGGGCGGCGGCTTCCGCTGCAGGCGAGGCCGGAGCGGCTGCCCCTCCAGGGGGCGCAGCTAACGGGGGTTGACTGTGGGTCCTCCCGTTAACTTTAGCATCGTGTTTCTTGGCCGGCGGGCTCATCGTAATCGTGACTCCGATTTTCCCGGACTCCTTTGAGAGTACTTCAGCCTTGCGCTTGACGGGGGGAGGTTGGCGCTCCTCAGAGCCGCTGCGCGCTCGCTCGATCGGCGAATGTTCGCGTTCGCGTTTGCGCCCCTGCCTCCTCAGCTCCTCGCCCCTCTCGAAGCTCTGAATGAGTCTCGGATCGAGAATGTTCTCCTCTGGTTCCCAGGTGTTGTGCTTCGGTTTCCAGCCTTTCCATTTCACGTAGTACTCGACTTTGTTCTGCAAAGAGTGAAACACGGTGTTATTTGTTGGTTCATTTCAGTTAAACGAGCGGTTGGGTAGGATACCGTGGCGTGACTGACCGGTGGCGGGCGCGCCACGAGGGTGGAACGCGAGCTTGCAGATTAATTTGCGATTCGAATTACCCGAACGGGTTTCGTACATATTATAAAAGAAAGCTATTAAATTGAGGGCACTTTCTTAACCGCTGCCTTTCATTTAAGTTTTTAAATAATAACAACTTTGATAGCGGTAATGAGGTAAGGTTTTATGCGATTATTATGGCGGTGAGCACGAAAGCTGGGCAGGTCTGTCGGGTAGCGGGTTCGCGAGTTTATTTCGTCGCACCTGCTCGGCACAGCTGTCGCGATATCTCCCTCGGGATCGAGGCCAAAACATACCCTCGCTGTCAAAAACATGCCGTTATAACACATGCAGGTTACATACGAGTTTGTGTAACTCCTGCAAAAACACCTCACTTCTTACTCATGCTCAACTCAAAGGAATAACTACGCATTCTCGTTTAATAAAATTCGATCTAAAGTGTTGCGTATGAACGATTTAAGTGTAACAAAGACGATGGAAATTTACGATCAATACGATACGCGGTAAAAACTTATCGTGCGTAGGAAGTTGTGTAGAACACCTGTGGTGACTTCATTAAACCGCACAAGGCCCAATCTCCTGCATATTTATTACCGACCTTTCACTTCACCCGCATGACCAGCTGGTAGGCAATATAAGCTGTATTGAGGGTAGACAAGGCTCAATTTCGTTCCAACGGGATGAGACTTAGGGCGTTGCTAAAGTTAACTAAAGCTGGAAACGCTCGCGTCTTATTGGTTTTAGTTGGTGAAGGGTGAGTCGCTTTTCAGAGCAGTTCACGTGACTTTGTATTGACGTTTACAATTTGTTTTAACAGTGTAACCTTAATGTGACGGACTTTCTCGAGAAAAATTTTAACTTTACATTGTAAATAATTTTTGGGAACAAAAACTTTGAAACGAATTTTCAACTATCAAGAAAAATTATAATACCTCTAATTAAGGAATAACCGTGGTTTTTTTAATTTTAACATTTTTGCAAGTAACTCTTCATAACTAATTCATAACGTTATTTATATGGTGTATTTTTAGTTGTGTTCGTTAGTTTGTTAGGGTTAATATACATTCTAGAAGTGTTATTTATACAATGTAATTTATCTAAATAAAAGTGTTTAAAACTATACTATACTTCTTTGTAGCTGCGACCTAACGTAGACTACACGTTTTCCTATGTTTTCTGTGATCTAATAGCATGTCTATACTAGAGACGACCCTACCAAATGCTTAACATCTTAGCCATTTTCTTATGATAGAGGAGAACAGTCAATGAGTAAAACCTCTGCTAGATGGAAGGTGCAATACTCATATCTACACAAGGGATGTTCTACCCTATTTTGGCTTTAGATGACGCAAAGAAGGTGAATATATTAGACGATTCTCCCAGTTAACAAAAAATAAAATTTAAAGGAACTTACATCATTATTTATATTCAGATATTGAATGTATTTAAATATAACTGTATTTTTTATGGAGGTTATTTTAATCATTTACTGTTGTTTTAATCATGATTGAGCTTGCCCAAGGTAAGTCTGTAAGTTAAGCGTGAGAGACTATAGCTTCGGATCCCGAAAAAATAATATTTTGCGGTTCAACAAAGAAATCTGTGTAGACGCGATGTAGACGTTTGTGCCAGGCCCTTTATGGGAAAATTGAATTATTGTTAGTTCAAGGAATCTTAATTTGAAATAAGTGGGTGCTAACTACATGTAAAATATCGTAAGTACAGGTAGGTAGGTTTAAAAATTGCTGTTGTAATTACTAAATACGAATCAAATACGGTATGAAATATTCTTCGTAAGTATAGCTCAAATCTAGCTTAATTATTTAAGTACAACGGAACTCTACTAACAGTAATGAGGCACCGAAGCCCACACAATACTTTAAGAGGCCTCATCAACTTGAACACTAAACAAAAAGTGAACGCATCGGTAAAAAAAGGAGCATTTGGGACGTGTTAACAAAGTGAACGCGTCCGTTAGCGCGCGGCTATTGGCCGGCGGGCGGGGCGAAGGGAGAGCCGCCCCGCCCCGCTCCACCCCCGCGGGCTCGTGTCCGTCTCGCCACGTTACTTGTGCCGACAATATAACCCTTATTGTAGTATTATAAGGTTGAGTTTGCCGTGAATGGGCGGTGACGCTGTTATGGCGCAGCCGATGGTAATAGTCGCGCCATGGGCGGAACACGTCTTCGGAGTATAGACGCCAATTAGAACAGATCGGAACTTGCGTAATTAATTGTTCGCTGCAATTAACAGAGTTAACACGGCATTGATCTATGTGGGATGGTGGAAGAGTGCGTAGAGCCTTTCTTACCGTGAAAAGTCAAGGAACGGGGTGTAAATGGAAGATTAATTAATTTTATTTCGGTTTTGAACTGTAATGGCAATATGGTCGTCGAAGTTCCACAATTTTGGCATCATCGTGAGATTTTGATCGTTCTATGAACACTTCGAAACAGAGCTTTGTAAAAAGGTCAAGAAAACATTTTATTGTTCAGTTGCTAAATTGTGTATAAGATGTTTTAGCTTGTCCCTACAACAAAGTTGTGACGTTCTACTAATACAGTGCTTAGTTTAATAAAAACGCCTGAGAAATATGAACGATCAAATAATAATAATTAACTAATTTACTACTTTTTCTAGCAGGCGTTTCGTTTGTGGGTTTAACTTACAAAAAATGTCTTGATATGACCATACTGATGATTTAAACTTAAATTTACCCAACACTTGTCTTCAAAGTCAAAAGATACTAAATTCCTCGTATACTGTATTACTTTAATTCCCTTACGAAATCTCAACTTGTTAGATCACTATTAATATTTAGGGGCCCGCATGTTAACCAATTTAAATTCGTAAATAAGTATTGACGGCCGTGCATAGTTAAATATACTTAGTCGCTTTAGAATAGGTATTTGTGTTATAAAGCTTTTTTTAATATTGTCTCTAAACAAAATAACCTATAGGGTCTGTTTATATACCATGCATTAATACCATCATTTTCATCTGTTTTTCTCTTGTCAAAATTAAAAGACGACATTAACTAAACAGTCCTCCCGTGACCACGGCTGCTAAAAAGCATCCTAAACGTCTAGCCATAAATAAATTAAATATAACGAATATATTTAACGTTTGGTTTTAAACAAATACTCGTGTAAACCTACAGACAGTATTAAAATCATCCCATTAGACATCGACAGGCGTTTCTCTCTAATGCAACTGTCATTTTCGCTTTTCGTTTCACTTAGACAAATTACAATCTATTTAAAAATAATACCTAAATAAGAACCAATATAATCTGTTCACAAATTTTTTAACAAATTGTTTTTAAAAAAGATAAAAAATGCAAAAAAACAAATATATACACAAGATGCAGGCGAATTAAAACGTATTATAAGATTTTTTCTGAAAGCCTTTTAAAATGTTCTATGTATTATGCAAGAAAACAGCCTACCAAGTCATAAATGGCTGCGCGCGCGTCCGGTTATCAATAAAATTAATGAACGAAGGTTAGCCTTTATTACGCAGATTAATTAATTGCCTCCACTGTATTACGCTGTTAATTGCTTTCATGGGTAATTAGTCGTTTTTTTTATTGGTTTATGGGGAGAATGGGGACAACTGGATTTTTATAACACAACGAATGTATGACATTTTTTGAATCTTCAGGGATAGTGGCAAGACGACACTGCGTTTTTTTGATCTTAATATTATACAGTGGAATCCCGTGGGGCATGGGGCGAACACATTTATGTGTCCGTTTCACTGATCGGAATTTTATAAAGATTATTATGGAGACCAAAAATGTATTCTGATTCCTCATGTAAGATCTTATTGATTTATGGGTACCTGTAACAAAAAATATGCCTCGCTGTGTTACGCACGTATTTCAGTCATTCTTTCGTTGCTGATAAGATATAGATAAGATCCTCTGTTTTTTTAACAAAATGTTATTATTTCTTCCACCGTTTTTATCATAATTATATCATCATCATATAAAATATCATATTATATAAAAACAGTCTTTCATTCTGTCGAGCAATTAGCGACCGACTACAAGAGACACGGCCCGTGAAGTGCATCGGCTCACCGCTAATCAAAGGGACGTTGGATCGATGCCAGCGCAGCCATCGACTGATAATTAACTGCTGGCGCTGACGACAGACGTCCGGCTCGCTTTCATGTGTACGTCATAGGTACTTTGGTAAATACTGTGTTTTACTTGATAATAGACAGTGGGTTTTAGAATAGGTGGGCAATATTGAGATTAATAAATAAATTTAAACACCTACATCAGACTAAATACTGTCTGTTGTTAACGTACATTTAAATAAAACGATTTTACGGTTTAAAACACGAAAAATATTAGTTAAGCTTATTTTAACTACGGGCCGCTGTTTCCCTGTGACTTCGGCCGCTGCAAAGCATTCAAACTTAAATTTAATACAATAATTTTCGCGTTTTAAACCGTTTTATTTAAATACAAACAGACTTCCAAACAGATCGAATGAATAATTTTACCCTTCCATGGATTTTATTTAATACTTCAAAAGTTAAACATTATTTTGACAGTCACTTCTGTCACGCACATCTCTTTTTATTACTGTTTGAAAATACAGCTATTTAAGCTATATAGCCACTTATAGGTAATTTTATTCTGGACTTTGACGGTTTTATGTGACGTTAAAGAATATTTATAGGTATATGAGATAAATATTAAATTTATCATACTTCTATAATAGGATTTGATTTAAATAAATGGGTCCATATTATATTATTAGATTAGTATTTATAATTATTTAAAACCACTAGACATTATGTATCTTAATAGTTCACGGGACAATTTGAAGCCATTTGTCACCCCACGTCACTTTGTCCCAAGCGATAATAATTTGTGTCCA